GAAAAGCCTCCAACAGGGAAAAACAAAATTCGTCGTGGGTAGGTGTGCAGAGTCAATAAGACGTTACACTTGCAAGGTCATTTTCCGGGGATTTGTCATGTGGACTATGAGTCAAAAAGGAAATTCCTTTCTTATCTTAGATAGTCCTTTATAACTAGTATTTTTTAATAATACATATGTACAAAAAACCATTTTTTTTTAACCCCGATGTTACGAATGATCCCGATTTAACGAATGAAATTTCCGGTCCCTATGAATTTGTTAAATCGGGGTCCGACTGTAGATGTTTTTAGAAACATTAGAATTCCAGGTAATTAGTTTATTTATATTGAAATTAAATTAATTTCTCTTATCGTATAAATCGACAAAACAGATATTTTTTTCTTTTATAATACCCAAATACAAAAGATTAATATCATCATCATGATTACTGAGCAAGATTAATTCCGCGAGGTAAATACTATTTAATAAAATTGTATAATCTTGAAAATTAACGATAATTAAATCATCAATAAATCTAAAAACAAATTTATATTAAGAGTATAATTTTTTTTCATAATACTAGTATAAAAATAAGTTAGCTAAGAGAGATGAAAAATTATGTCCTTGATTGATTCCATCAATTGAATAAAAATATCTTTTTCATTGTAAAGATAATTATTAAAAAGACAAAAATTAATTAGAATCCCCAATAATCAAAATTGCAATTCAGGTCATTTTTAAAATCATAGTATTGACTCAAAAGGACATCTTTTAGTTTAGAAAGGGAAATGGTATTGAAAAGATCCTGGAAATCAAAAGTTGCAATAGAATGAATTTTCTTTTCTTTAATAAATTCTAAAAATGGTTGATTATCAGTGGTAATCCAAAAATATCCTTCTATAATAATATTGCTAATAATTTTATTTAAATAGTTAGAGAAAATGGTGCCAGGTTTAGTTAGATAAGTATTGCACCCACATGTGATTGTTCTAAATTTTATTGGAATTTTATGAAATTTTGGACTGATAATTAAGTAAGGAAATTGTATATTGCAAATTTTCATTTTTAACCTCTTATATAAAGCTAAAAATTTTTTTAATCATAGCATTATTTAAATTGCTAAGCTTAAAATTTTTACTCCCTATTTAAAAGTTCAACATAGAATTTTTTACTGAAAATTGCATAATTACTGTTAGCTTTGTCTATGGGAGTAGTTACAAAATTTTTTTGTAGTTGCTTAATTAATCGAACAATCTTAGAAAAATTTGTTGAATTGTTACTGTTATTTAAATTTTCTTTATTATTGAAAACAAAGTTTTAAGGTAATAATAAGCAGTCCATTTCTATTTTGCTAACATACCTAAAGGTAAAGGGAATCTATTTGATATCGTTAAGCAAAAGCTATTGAGATCATTAAGAAAGTATTTTATAATTTTATTAATTGATATATGGTAAATGGGTCTCAATTTGTGCCTTATATCAATAAATTCCTAAGTTCTAAATTTTCTATAATATTTCAATTACCGGTAATGATATGTCTTTGATGTTTATCAACAAAATATTTTTCTTCTTCTCAGTGACATTCATAATTTATATATTTATTTTCCCTAATTTCTTGTTAGTATCACTATAATTAAATATGGTTCTACCAAGAGATTTATTATATTTAAAGCTTTTAATTACGTTAAAATCTTTTAATGGAAACAAATTTTAAAAATTTTCAAAAGTATTATGAAATTTGTTCAGATCAAAAATAGGGTTTTAAAAGTAAATAACGAAATATAAATAATCTAAATTTTTCTTTATATTTGGAGAAATTTTACTCATTTTAACTTTTACAAGATCAGAGAATTACAAAGTGTAAATTAATAAAAGAAAAGTTTATAATAAGATCTTGAAGCTTATATACATCATTATTCTTAAGGGAGAAAACAAAATCTTTCATTGGTTTAATATTATAATGTTTATTAAAATCTTTTTTCCATGTTAGAAATAAAATTTTCATTTAATTTGTCACTATTAGGAGAGTTTTTACTACTTCCTAATCCCCGTTTATCTTGATTTGTACGCTTATCTTTAATATGAAAAAGTGAGTAAGTTGAGGAGTTATTAAAATTAATCTGTATGTTGGAAGGTGATGCCCGGTGGCTGAGCGGTAGCGCTTCGCGTTGTCGTTCCACAGATCCCTGTTTGGTCCTTGGACCGGGCAAGGTTGACTCAGCCTTTCATCCCTTCAGTGGGTCGATAAAATGAGTACCAAGCATGCTTGGGAGCTAAACACTGGGGGCTCTGCGTTGGACTGACCACCCAACCGGAACATCTGCTCTTGTGCCTCGGAGCCCAAAGGTCAAGAAAATTGGGATGGGCACAGTAGGCCTTGTCCCTCTATGCCACTGAGTTTAGTTTATGTTGGAAGGTATCGTTTAGTCCATGCGGCAAAATTGTTTTGTATTTAAGCATGTAGTAATTTTTTTTCTAGTCTTAAATTGATATCTTCTACTATGTCTAAAATATTAATTTTGACACTGTTAAAATTATGTTCTCTGAAATTATTCAATTTTAGGTTATTGATAATTTTATTACTGTTTATATCTGAATGGTGCTGATTAATTCTAATATTAAGCACTCCTTTGTGCGGATATAATCATGTGAGCTGTTGAAGAAATTATATCTTTTCATTTTTTTTTGTCTTCTGGTTTTTTAATATATATATTTTTAATTTTTTTTTTAAATATTTTATTTTATTGATTTTTCTTCTTCTCTTTTCATTAATCTTTAATATTTTCCATGTTCTCTCTATATTTTAAACTTATTTTATGAGTTCTACATACTTGCAGCTCATGCGCAGTAAATAAAACTTATTAATTTTCTTCATTTATCTCTTTTTTTCTTTTTATCCTTTATCTTTATTGAGCATTCGATATATATATATATATAGCACAATGAAGACAAAATGAGAAAAACGAAGAAAATTGAAAAAATTAATGATCTTTATCAAGTTAATTAATAAGTTTTATAAGAATGTGAAAAAATCAAAATTCATAATCAAGATAAAACAGTGTTTTTTTGTAGTTTTTGATTTAAACTGTTTTTTTTTTTTAAATTTTATTTTAAGAATATGTCAAATAATATTTTTTGTGTTTAATTGAAATTAATTAAACCATTCAAATATATTTCATAGTATTAAACTATTCTATTTAACTATAAATTAATTTTCACAATAAACAATTTAAACACATAAGAAGGAGAACTGAATTCTTTAAATATGCATTTTTATTACTTTACATCTCCACTCAACATGCAATTTTCGACGTTTCAACATTATAGCTGTAAAAACAAAAAAAATTTGACATCTACATCTGACTATCAATTGAAAATTAGACGGCAAAACTAAATTCACAATGCTAGCAAAAATGAAACTCATCCATTTATTATAAACAAATACTCATATGCTTATTTTAAGGAGCCTTTTTAAAGCATGTGATTTGGAAACATACTTTTTCCCTCATGTTTATATAATTAAAAACCGTATGTATGTTAGTCATATGTGTCTTATATTTGGAGTAGAAGGTAAAATCTACATGTATCTCAAATCCTGTAAACATATAATGCTATTTTATGCCAAAAATTATAGTTTTTAAGATGTTCCTGATTAAACCAAACCATCACAAGTATGTGATGGCTGTGAGTGAACGAGAGATCACTCTGGTACACTGGTGTGTCAGCCAAAAGGTAAACGTATTTTATGCTGTTACATATACACATAAGTCTCCCCCCCCTCCAATAAAAAGGTACCTTCATTTTTGAAGAGCACTAATTTTGCCAAATATATTAATTAGATTAGTGCCCCTCGAAACAGAATTGAAAATACTGGAATAAGTATGAGAAATAATAGTTGTTTATATGGATTTAGCCAAAAAATAATTTTCACTAGTTATAATAATCTGAAGTTTCTGCTATTGCTATCTCTTTTCTTTAAAAGAGGGCCTTTTTTTTCTAATTAAAAAGGGGGCAACATTTTTATAAAAAAAGAGTAAGAAGGGTGCATTTACCTCTGTGAAAGGGTGAGCAACCCTTCTAAAAATGCTCTGGGAGAACATTGATATACACGACAGTCGGTAAAAAAAAGAGTTAAAAATGGAAAATGTTTGAGAAAATTTAATATTTTTTTCCATCTTCTATTTTTTTATTCAAACTAAAACAATTTGTATAAATAAAATAAATTAAACTATTAAAAAATATTTATTTAGAAAAAAAAACTTTATTTGATTCAAATTATATTAGTTTAAATAAAAAATAATTTAAATAACATCTTTGAATTAGTAACAGTGTTGTAAATTTATTCATTATTGAATCATTATTTTTTTTAAAATTTAATTGTTTAAAATTCCATCATTACAATAATATTTTTTAATCATTGGTTTGTGAACCTTCAATTTGAAAACAATGTATTTAAACAAAAATCTTCCTAACCTATTTGATAATTGTTGCTATAGAAATAATTGTTGTAATTTTTTTTAAACAATTAAAGTGTTCTTTATTTCCTATATTTTGGAATTTTTTCAGTGAGTTGATTTTACATTAAACCATACCTAGAGCAAAAACAAGCAAATAAAAAAAAAAAATCTAGGCTTGTTCCTTTCCATCTCTAAAGAATGAGCTGATTCAGTTGATTTTAATTAACTACTGAAAGTGTCATAAACTGTTCTTCCTGGTTCTTCCACTATGTAACTGCTTTGTCTTTAAATGCATACATTTTATATTATCTATGCACTTTGTTCTCATTTGATATCTGAAGTTATAATCTATCTTGCAAAATTTCTTATCTAATCTTTTTTAAAGTAGTATTTTAAGAAGATAAATCGTATGATTCAGTCTTTTCTTGGTTTTTGTTTGAGGCAAAATCTTGTTTGTGGGTAATGTCCTAAACTTAACATGTTTTTGCTTTGAATATAAAGTGATATTTACTTTATTTTGAATCAATTTGATTAATTTATTTATATAATTGACATTTTCAGTTATAAACATGGAAGGTGATTCGAACGATAATGAAGATAGCCGATCAGAATCTGTTAGCAGCAATACTCAGTCTCGAAAATTTTATAGGGCTACTCATCATAGGTTTGTTTTGTTTTTCATATTTTGTCTTAAATTTTGAAATGTTACTTAATGAATTTGAATTTTTATTATTTTGTTGTATTTTTAATTTAACTCTTAAATTTATGAACATCATTGATAATTGAAATATACAGTACAGAACCGGTTATCCGGAAATCAGAAAACCGGAAAACCAAAAAACCGGAACGAAATTCGATAAATTTTCCCGCAATATTTAAAAAAAAATTTCTTTTTCCTCATAAGATTTTAGGATTTTTCTTTCTTTTTTGAAAGTTGTTTACCTTACCATCATTTTGGAAATAATCATTGGTGTATTACTTCATCATTTTTTCTTCTTTTTAAGAATATTTCTAAACGTTTTTTTTTTAGTTGGGTTTAACAATAAAAAAAATGGCTCTTTGTAGCGATTCAGAAAACCGGAAAAATCAGTTATCCGGAATAGCGATGGTCCCGATCATTCCGGATAATCGGTTCCCTACTGTATTTTTGTGTTTTGCTTTTAATTGCAGGAGTATATTAATGTCTAAAATGCCAAGATAATATTTCCAGCCATTTTTAATAAGGCAAATGCAACCACTAATTAAACAATAGTTTATCAAGTTTTTAGTAACTATTTTCAGAAAATTTAATTAAAATATTTTCAGGCTTGTAGTTAATATCAGTATTAAAAAATGTCTGTGCAAAACTTTTTTGATGAGCACTACAGCCTATTGCAGACCTTGACTGTCTCAAGCAACTTATTAGGTTTAAATTTACCTAGTTAACACCAGTACTCTCCATCTTTTTACTCTTATACTGATCAGCCACTTTTCCACTACACCTTACTATTTATTATGTAATTTACTGCTCTTCTTTTCCCCCTCTTGTTTGTACAAAGATATTTTTTGACTGTGTCATAGTTGTGGTATCTATAGATATGACCAACATCTTCTGGATTTTATCTACTTTAATTATGTTTGGTTTTCTAAATTTGTAGTATATCTCAAAGCTGTAATCATATTCTCTATGCTTTACTTTCCTTAATTGCACCAGAAACATTCTTAAAATCTTTCTTCACAAATAAGATTTCTATTTTCTTCTGATTTATTCATTTTCTAGCACTGGCTTCCATATACTACTACTGGTCTTGCAAAAGTCCTAGATAATTAAACTTTCTTTATGATTTTGATTTGAACTGTCTTCTAAATCCAAAGTATTCTTTATTAGCCATCTTAATTATATTGTTAATTTCTGTTTTAATGTTATTTTTATTGTTTCCAATGGTTTCCAAACATTTAAACTGAATGACATTTTCAAAAACTTAAATCTTTTATTTTTAATAGCAATGAGTTTTGTGTAGACCTGAAAATTTGCATTTTCAATTCGTAGTCAGTGGCCGGTAGACTCCAATTACTTAGGAGCCACTTTTTCTTCAAACCTAATGAGTTTTTTTGCTTTGATTAAATTATATATATATTTTTTTGAAAATTCATATCAGAAATAATTTACGGCTATAGAAAAATTAATTCAACAATGAAAATAAGAAATATGTGCCAAAAATTAGTTAAACATACTGACTTTAAAGAATTTTATTTAAAAATATTTGGGGAGACAAAATACATTTAATGTATACATTACAACTTTGAAATTTGTGAATTGTTCAGAAACCCATCTTCAATATGAATCTTTCCACTGTAAATTGATTTATTCTGAAAGATCAAAATTTTGAATGGAGGCATTGGACATCTTAATGAAAATTCTCTTATCCAGAGTCTCTCTTTACATTGATGTGCTTTTATCATTAATCAATTAAAAAATAAAGATGGGAAAAAGTGACCGGTTGTTTATTTAGTTGAAGTCGCCACTTTTTTTGTTGACTTGCCACTGGCGAGTGGTTATTTTCTGCTTTAGTCTTGTGTTTTGTTTGTTACTGCCATACATTAAATTTTTTTCTACAGACTCAGCCAGCTTCCATTACAGCTTTTTTCTTATACAAGCAATATAAATATCAAGAGTAAATGCTAATGACTGTGTTATCTTTTGAGAAATGGTTTCTCATATATCTTACTGTTTTCTCTTAAGCAATATTAGAAATATGGAGGGATGACTCCCTTTTTTTTATCCTTTTTCTCTCAAATGCTCAGAAAGTTCTGTCCTCTACATTACCTTGTATTTTATTCTTTGCATGGTCATTTTTGTTAATCTTATCAGTTGCTTGAAATAAAGTCTTTCTCTTTTTGCTGTCATTGATAGTCTTGAAATCTACAACAAGATGAAATATGTGTATCCCATACTCTGTTGTTTTTTCTGAAATTTGTTTTATACTGTGGATTTGATCTGCAGATCATCTTTTTCGGAAACTACATTGATTTTTTTAATATGATTTTACTTGTAAAAGGTATTAATCTTTTTGCCAGAAAATGTGAAAAATTTTGTATGACATGTTGAACTGAGAGATTCCTTGATAGTTTCTGCAGTCTTTTTTTTAATATGGGCAGAGCATATAAATATATCAATCCAGAGCATATAAATCCAATATAAGTGATGATGTTGTATATTTTGCATGTTAATTTATTCACTTTAACTTTCAAGAACTTTGCTTTGATACCATTTGGTCCAGCTGAACTATTGTTATTATTTTATCCATTAATACCTCTACCTCTTCCTGAAATTGAGGGGCTTGTTCTTTGTTTCCATGTTCAACGTTTTAGTTCAGAATTCTATTTGTAAAGGTGTTAATAAAACTTTTGCTTCATACTGTTTTTAGAGATTTTCAATTTCTTTGAATTGTTCTTCCCAGTGTTCTCTCTTCTTTTTAAGCATTGACTTTTTGCATCTTCTCAATCCAGTGAATCAAATTCAAATTTCTCAATTCAACACCAGTAACAGAGCTTGAATTCATATTTATAAATAAATGAGATATAAAGATTGAAAACACCTCAACACATTGCTGAATAATTAATTATACTTGAAAAGCTGATTCAGGCCAAGATAATCTATCTTTTAATGCTATTAGTATATTAAATTTTACTAGTCACTTTAATTGAATTATATATTGTCAAACCTGCTATTACAAATTCAAGGGAAGAAATAGAAAATTTTGTTATATCAAAAATTTAGATACCCGCATTAAAAAGTTATAATTCAAATTTAATTGTAGGTCTAACCTGTGGTAATTTCCACGAAAACCAAGAAGTTTTTAGATTAATTTGAGGAATAGAAAGTGATTGATGAATAGTTTAGTTTTAAAAACAATAACAGTATAAGTACTTATTAAAATAAAACTGAATGTTCTGCATGTGTTTCTACTAATCCTTTGTAAAGAATGATAAAATTGTGTCTGAGAAACAGGAAGAAAATTCGAAACTGTTTTTTTTCATCCTCAGAAACAAAATGGAAAAGGTTAAATTTGCAAGGTTAAAGGTTTGAGCAATACAATATATTTTTATGTAAATAATTGTAAAAATTTTTTTTATAGAAGAAATTGTGAACTAATATCTTTTTAATTGTCATCTCATGATATTTTTTTATTATTAGAAAGGCTGAAGAAACGATGACAATTTAAAACTGTTAGGAAATATTTGAAATCTTCTTTTTGACCTACTTGAATTTTTTACTGCCAAATTGCCCTATGCAGAATATCAAATTGCATAGAAAAATAGCAATACTTGAAATCTTGTAAATTTTTTATCATCAGAATTATTCCATATGTCTATTTGAATAATGTATAATATTTCAGAAATGCATGTCACTGATGCATGTCACAGAAATGCATGTCAAACCTCGTTTACTAAAACTAATTTTCAATTTCTCCTCATTGTATACGGATATAATACTTTGAAGTACTTTTAAGGTGAACTCAAATTTTAGTACCCGTTGAAAAGTTTTACTATCAACCCCTTAACAATCAGTTAATTTTCAAGAAAACGGTGATAAAAGTGCCTATTTTGCCCAAAACACGTATTTGATTACTGCTGACATCCAGTTTAAATTAAACTAACTATCTACAATTACCTTGAAAATATCATGGTTCTGCCATCTGGTAGGTAAAATGAGAACTAAAATGTTCTCCAGGCAAAAGAAATGAATTAGTTTTATTCTTATCGAGAAATAGAGGGTAAAACCTGACCCCGTCATTTTCACGGGAGCTAGAAGGAAAAGGTTAATGTAAACATAAAATTCATTTCCTATCTGATAGGTAAAAAAACTGGTCATTTACAGTTCAATATCTATAAGAGCAAGTTTTTTAATGCTTTATTAAAGTGTTAATAATTGCAACATTACAGCTGCCAAATTAAAAAGTTGTGTGAATTGAATTTGTTGAGGGGGAGGGGTCATTACAGGAAACATTATATATCCTTTTTTACTCAAGTATGAATAGAGTTTTCTTTCAGCTCATGGGTGTGAATATAAATAAAGCCTGTTTTTCGTGAGAAATGACCCCAATCATATTAATCCTTTGTTCAGAGTAGTAGGGTGGGAGAGTAGTAATTTGTCCCACCCACTTTCATAGGTTGTTCTATGAAATTGGTATTGCTGAATTGCATTTCTGAAGGTGAAGAAATGTGAGGATAAATTTTTTCTTAAATTTCGCTAGCAAATACTTTGGTTTACTTTCCTCTGATGGATGCTTATGACACAATTAAAATTGTTTGTTCTTATGTAATACAAAATGAAAATTGGATTAATTTTTTGGATACAGTTGATAAGTTAAAAGATTTATGGAAAGCATGTTTGAATATGAAACCAAAACAGTGAGCTATTACTGATCTTTTTGTTAGTAATCCTCTTTAATTTGTGCAATAAATCAGGTTACTCCTATTAGTTATTTACTTTTATAGAATTTTTTATTTGTTCCTACAGAATTAACATTAAAAGTACACTTTTTGAATTTCGTCTGAACTATAATACTTTTTTCTTCCTTCATAACTTCATTTTATTTTTTTTAAAGTAATTGGTTGTATATATTATGAGATGTATATTAGTTATTAATTTCATATAAGGCACAAAATAAAAACAGTTATTGAAATGAAATATATATTAATTTATGTATTCATAATAGAACTTTAAGAATTGAAGATGCAAATAGACAATAGAAAACGTCTATGTATTGTACTATTTTTATTAAAAAAGTTTTTGAACTAATAATATGATTAAATTTTCTGCCTCCTTCAAGTTGACGTTAATGAGGTTTGACTGTATATCTGGCTAATGGTTCATCCAAAAACTACTGTTTTTTATATTTTACTAATCACACAAATTCAAAATACATTCAATAACTTTAACATAGATTGAATAATTTCTATAAAAAATTTAAAAGCGAAATGCTGTGAAAAGAGGTCAGGAAAATTTATTTTGAGGTAATGAATTTTTCTCCTGGGACCTGATAGACACCCTGCTGATATATCTCCAGGTACTATAACCTATTTTAACATTTCTGATTTTTTGCATTCTCCACATACTAAAAGACTAATGTCTTGTCCACAGTAACTCTACTACTTCTACATAAATGTCATTTTCTTTTTGCATTCATTAAGCTGCTGAGGTCTTTCCTATTTTATGAATGAATATTCTTATTTATATACACATCTTGCATATCTATTTTGTTAGAAATAGACAATTCAAGCAACACTTTTTCAAATACAACAATATCTTTCATTTTTTAGAGTTTAATAAAAAGAGTAATAAATTATTCAAGAAAATGTTTTAAAAATTTGAATTCAAGAAATCATTTTAAACTTTTCAGAAGTTACAAAAAACAAATTTGGCGATAAAGAATATTTCGTGAAATTGAAAATCACCAAGAAATATATTCAATTAAGAGAGTTTTTTTAATTAGCAATAAAGCAAGAAAAAAGGGAACTTTAATTTTTTTTGATATTGACAAATTTGTGTTGTCAAAGTTTGTGATATCAAGGTTCGACTATATTTGTTTTTCTATTGTATTTAGGCTTATCAATAACTAAATATTTTGTTTCTTTCCCTCATGTAAAACTTAAATTTATATTGATTAGAATAATATAGTGTACATTTTAAATGATTTATTAAAAACTATTTTTCATTCTCTTATACTGATAATATAATATTTATTATTTTTTTAGGATTTTTGTGAATCGTAGTTTACATTTGGAAAAAATTAAATTTTTTGGCTTTGACATGGATTATACATTAGCACGTAAGATTATTTTTTTAATAAAACTCATAACAGTAAAAGTCTGACTAACATGAATTCGACTTTTCAGAAAGCTCAAGTAGCAGGAATTGAGGGATTATTATTCAGCCTTATATATATATATTTTTTACATTTTTGAGGCTAACCATTGTAGTAAGGGTCCGTTCAAAAGGTACGTACACAAAAATGGAGAAATTTTAACCCCCTCCCCCCTTTGTACATTACTGTACATAAGGTCCCTTAGAGTATGTACATTTTATTAGTTTACCCCCCTTTTTCATAAAAATTAAAATAATTGAAAAAGTCAAATTTAAATTTGGTGTATGCTTATAATGTACGTACTTTGTATAATTACAAAATAGCAAATCCCCTTCCCCCCTTCGTGATGTACGTACTTTTTGAACGGCCCCTAATAAGGAAATTATTACTTTTCTATAAGCAGTCATTTTGATTTATTTTTGTTTTATATTGTTTTGGTTTTATTAATTACGGTTTTCTATATAAACTTTCAGGTTTTTTTTATCAATACTCAAGTATCTGGAATTTTGGTTTAAATTAATTATGTTGTTTCATGCTCACTCTTTTTTTATATAAACTTCCGTATTTTTTATCGGTATTCATGTTTCTGTAATTTTCCCATTCTGTATAGTTGAGCTTTTACTGTATAATCATTATTCTGTATATGCATATTCTGGAGTATTAAGTTTTGGAAATATAAATATTTAGGACTAAATATTAGTTTTTCCATTAAAATGAGTTTTCTCTATTTCTTATTCTTCTAGTTTAATGTTTTAAATTGATAAATTTTTTATGAAATTATTATTTTTAATTTTGGGAAAACATTTGTTTTTAAACTTTTGTTATCTTTGTTCTTAAATATACAATGTTCTTTGTGAGAATTTTTAAGTGCTTAGTTTTTATTAAAAAATGTATAATTTTCTTTTATTGAAGATAATATGAACCATAAATAGTGCTTTTCTTTTACCATAGAAATGAAACTAATTTTCATAATGAAAAATTAAATTAAGTTGCATTTAGGATTTATCATCGTTATATTTCATTACTGCTTTCAACTGTTAAACTGTATGCGCAAATGATCTAGGTGATCTCTGATAATCTATTTGGTCAATAACAGAAAAAAGTTGTTTTCAATTCATGAAAACTTTTATGATTTAGACCCACTCGATGAGAAATTAAAGGATGGAAATATCTAAAAATTAAACCAGAATGTGTACAAAACCTGTATTCTTTTTATTCTTTTTCTGTAGTCTTATTCATTTAAAAAATTCAGTTGATATATAAAGTAACAATGAAATCGAAAAATAAATGCAATGAACTTCTATTAACGTAAGAATGTTTTCTTTAATGCAAAACAAACTTTTTTTGCCATTTATTGGTCTATATCACTCAGCACTTATGTTAACTAATAAATTTTAATTTTGTAATGATCTAATCACCAATTATAAGGATTTAAAAGCATATTTAAATAAAATGTATTCACTTATGTTGCATTCACTCATACTGATATAATGTTTAAATATTTTTTTTTTGAAAACTGTTAAGTAACAGTTTTGGAATTCCAAAAGCCTTAAAATTTATTAGATTATTGAAATAAAATTAGTGGTTCTCAGAAGCTTTTAGCTATGGGTTAAATTGAACAGATCTGAATAAAGTTTTAAATGCATGTAGGTCATGTATTAGAGATAGATTTTTGTTGAAAAATAACTATGTGAAAGTTTGCAAGTAAATTGGTTGAAAATATATAAAGAATAGTGTGGAATTTTGCAATTAGATAACACTTTACTGCTTAAACCAAATTCATGTATCTATATGTTAGTAACATGGTGGTATTTCTTAAAAATATTGTTGACAGATAAAGGTATACATAGAGTACAAATTTTTAAAAATAATTTAAATATTTTATGATTCTTAGAATTTGATTCTGTTATCTTTCTTTTAAATCTGTTACAGTATCACTTGTTAGCGAAATTTCAAACTATTTTTTCTGACAGATACTTTGTTCAAAGGATCCACATTACAAATATTTCAAGTTAGAACCAGAGCTATAATGAATTCCATCAGTTTAATTTTTACCAACTTGTATATTAGGTTTAAGTGCTCTAATTTCTCTTTTTAAGTTATTAAAATTTTGTAAATTTTTCTATTTTTATCAAAATTATTTTTGTTGCATGTTATTAAACTTTTTGCAATAAAATTACATCCTTAAAATTGTTACTAAACAATTGTATTCACGAACCAGTTAAGCACAGAATTTAATTTTAGATACCCTCCTCAAGGTGCAGAATTAAAGTCAAGCAATAAGCTGTGTATACGTCTAATGCAGATCAAGTGGTCCTGTTACAAATTTTCCAAAAAACTTACAAAATTTTTCCTTATCAGTTATATATATATAAAGTCCCTTCTTTTACATTTCCAATATAAAGTAAATTAGTGATGAATAGTTTATAATTAAAATTAGTTAGAGCTTCTTTAATACTTCTCAAAAACCTGCTGTAACTGAAATAGTTTTTTTATCAGTTTTTCTTGTTTATGTTCTAACTTTCAGCCCTGCTATTACTAAACTTTGTTACTTGTTTTAAATTATTTTTGAGAGATAGGTTCTCCGTTTTCTAATTTGGGTTGAATAGAAAGCTTGTGATAGAAAAGTAATTATTTCGAAAATTTCAGACCAAATTAAATATTTTATTTATTTATTTTTTTGAAAATTAAATATTTGCAAAATACTTTTCCTTAACCATGTAATTTAGCATGTGTAATTTAGGAATTATGTGGTTTTTAGAATTTTCATTTCATTAATAATTTTAAAAAATTTTTTGCTTTGGATTTGAAATTTATTGGCACTTGTTTCAGTCTCTAGTTATTTTTTTGTGCCATTTCTATTTTGATATTTACTTTCGAATTTTTTTTCTTCTTTTAATTGCAAATATGTAAATATTTTAGCATCATGCTTCTTAAAAAGCTTATTCTTCAAGTGTCAAGAAAAATTTATATTTTATATACTTAATTAATTTATTTTTTGCTAAACCTCTAAATTTAAAAATCAGAATTTATGTGAGTTTTGTGAGGAATACAGAGTTGAGAAATCGTCTGCATTTTACACAAAAACAAAGTTTATTTTATTTGTAACTGGCATGGTATTAGAATTTTTTATTGTTTATTCCTCTTAACTTTTGTTTCTGGTGTTTACTTTTAAGAGGTTTATTAAATATTTATTAAAACATTTTAATGTTATTTTTTTACTTTTAACTTTAACTGTTTAACTTTTGTAAATGTATGATTCAAAATATTTGTTGTGAAAGTAAATGCTTGTGGAAATAAAAATTATCACTAATATATTTTTTATTATTATTTCACAACTTTATTTTTTGAGCAGTACCATCCTTATTTTAAGAACAGTTGTGAGGTTATAGTTGCTATTTACAAGAGCTATATATTTATTGCAAGCATGCTCCTCAATATTGAAAAGAAGGCATCTTTTTTTGAAACACCTCTTGTTTATTTATTTATTGTAAGTTTATATTCTTTTGAATTTTAGAATATAAAAATCCTGAATATGAAGCACTTCAATTTCAATTAATTAGGGATAGACTAGTCTCAATTGGATATCCTCCTCAGATTAAAGATTTTCAATATGATCCAGCTTTTCCTATTAGGTGAGTTATTAATCAATTTTATTTAGTTTATTTGTTGCTCAATCGACTTTTACCCTTTACTCATTTCGATAAAATTTTTACAGAGGCTTATGGTTTGATAAAACTTATGGAACGCTTAATAAAGTAGATGCCTATGGAAATATATTGGTTTGCATTCATGGTTTCAAGTTCTTAAAGACGTTAGTATCTAAATTGTTTATTTTTTCATAAAGTACACCCATGATTGTTCATTTTCAATATGTTGTTCACATTTTTAACAAAATCTCATTATATCATCTATTGCCTAATTTTTTAAATTGAGATATCAGTTTTATTTCTTTTTTTTTTCTTAAAAAAAATTCATCCTAAATTTTGTAACAGCGCTAAAAGTACTATATTTTTTCAAACAACTTTTGACCTTGCAAAAAACTTTTAATGCTTTTAAAAATAAATGTGCTTTCTTTTATTGTGATTTGATTTTAAAGTACTGTTTTCTATTTTAATTCTTTTTAAACATTGGTGCAATATTTTTCAATTTGCCCATAACTGTGTTAGGTGTGTAATTGTGCTACAAAGCAATGTTAGCTTAAACATTTTTGTTTATAAAAGGAAAGAGTAATAAAATGTCATATAGCTTTCAATCATTTGAACGAATGCTCATCCAAATATCATAGATTTAGGTGCTTGCCCAATTTATGTTGCACCACTCTGACATAGAAACAAATGTTTTTTCTTGATCAAAAAATAGCATTTATTAAAATGGGAAATTTTAAAGCAATGAAGTGTATAATTTAGCCATAAAATTTTTTCATTTTCTAACTAAGTTTTTGTAACCTATGATATCTTTTATTAAAACAAACATCTCTAAATCTCATATTTTCTTTTTAAAACATACAAATGTATAAATTTTTTGCTGACTGCTAACAAGATGTTTATAAAAATTTTCGTGGATCATTTAAATTTTTTTTTTACTCCACTGGATAAACATGGAAGAGAAAGCCTTTTTTCAAAGCGCCCAGTACAATACCCTGACATTTTATCTCACAATATTTTGATGTTTTTAGTTCATTATCTTGTGTTATTCATGTATTCTGTTTCAGTTCAGAGATATATAATCTTTATCCGAATAAATTTCTCCAACTTGATGAAAAAAGAGTTTATGTTATGAACACTTTATTTAACTTGCCTGGTAAGTTTTATCTATTTTCTTTCTTTTGAAGTTATATTATTTTATTTGAATTTAGATTTGATTCATTATTATTTTATTTATTTGCATTTCAGAGGCTTATCTGCTGGCTTGTTTAATTGATTACTTCACCAACTCATCTCAGTACATACCGTATGTATTATTTATAGCATATATGCATGTTTCTTTTAATATTAGGTAAACTACTATAAAGGATAAATTTAAATTTTTAAAAAATGATATTTTTTAAAATAAATACAAAAATTACATTGCCATGGGAGTCATGATAAATGATGTCAATGTTATCACAAGTTGTGCTGTACTTTAAAATTTAATCAATAAACTGGAAACAACCATGATAATTCTTGAATTTGTTATTTTCTGTTGAGTATTATTAATTTATTATTATTAATTAAGTACTAACCATTATATTAAAAATTAATATTTTAATGTATCATTATTTTAGGAAATTAAGTAATTTTATTAAATTTCTATGCACATATTTATTTACAATAAAGTATCTACCTATAGTGACATATTTTTTATTATCCATTCATAATTTAGAAACACATTCTTTGAAAAGTAATATAATAAAAGCTTGACAATCTAGAATATGCTAGACAAATACAGACAACTGAATACTAAAGATGTTCATCTTAATAACTTCATCTTATTTTCTGGAAAAATAGCCCTTCTTTCATAAATTTTTTTTCCATTTACACTGTGGTATATAAAAAATTATAACTATAAAATTAGATGTCCATAAAAATTATTTAAAAAAAAGTTATAATGCAAGCTAGGAAAAATACAAAAAAGAAGAATTATTTTAATTAACTCTTAATAAATTACTATGTTTTAATTATTTAGTTTGGAAAACTCATATTGCCCTTTATTACCTTTACCCTTTAAAAAAAACAAAGGCATATGTTTATCTAAATTTCCTTTTTTCACATACCTTTTATTTGCTAATTCTATTGCTTTATCATTCAAAATAATTAATTAAATTTTGATTTTTCTTATATCTTGAAGCCTTTGAACTAAATAATACCAACCAATCATAGTTTACTAGATAAAAATGCATGTTAAAAGAGTACTGATTTTCAACAAAACTAAATTTTGAAAATAAAAAAAAATCTGTTATCTCATTTTCTCCCAAACCACAGTTGTAAGGTACCCTAAACAACTTTATCTTTGGGTAATTTTGAAGTTAAGCCAATAAGGTTTTTTTTATCATTTTTTATGGAATGATCATAATTACATTTTTAAAACTTTCTCCTTTTTATGTTTGATGGTCATATAAAAATTTAAATTATGCAACTTTTGAGAAAAATGTGTTCTATGAAGAAAGCTATCTAAAATTAATATCCATTAAAAAGAGAGTATTTCTTTAAGTGGTTCTGTAAATTATATTAAACGATATTTAAATAAGCAATATTTTTAAAACACTGTATAAACTTTTTAGATTGTCTTTGACCTAAATGCCTCTGTTATTTTCTGTTAATTCCTAATTTTTCCTCTGTTTTTGTGATTTTTTTCCTGTTTAATTAACATTAAAGCATACTTTAATTCTTATAAGTACTCAAAGCACATTTTCAATTCTAATTTGCTGAAAATAAAGTATAGAATTATTTATAATTGGGAGTTTTAAATTTTGATTTTGTCCTTAATCTCCTACTGGATCAAACTAAAGTAAAACAACAGAAAGGGTTTTTTGTCTTCTCCCCTCTAGTTCACCATAATTAAACAAAATATATAATATTGAAAGTTAGTTGCATAAAGTTACCTTGCATGAAAGTGTTTTTTAGAATTTTTTTCATTGTTATAAAATTTTTTATCTTCTTCAGCATTAAGAAATTATTGTAGGTAAACTTTTCAATTATTGAAAGAAATTCTGAATTGGCATCAGGTAATTTCAATTAACATGTTTTGATAAACTAAAACTTTTCTGTATTGTATCTTGTACCTTACTTTTCAGTTCTATTGCAATGTTATAGACACTTTACTAATTGTTTGCCCCATTGTATGTATTTTTCCTCATCTATTAATTCATTAAATCGATTAACTCCTCATCTGCTAATTTATTAAACAATATTCATCGTTTAAGTGATTTAAGAAAAGTGTCTATATTTTTTTATTGATATATTTGTTTCAGAGGAAAAAATGGAATTAAAAGTGGAAATATTTTCATGTCTTACACATCTATTTTCCAAGATGTAAGAGATTCTATTGACTGGGTTCATATGCGGGTAAGTTAAACTTTTCAATTTGCTTTTTAAACTTATTCATTGTATTAAATAACGGAAAGGCTACTTTTTTAAGAATTACTCTTAAGTAGCATATCTAGATGCAGATATGTGTTTGTTAAGTCCCAAAATTAGTTACTAAGTTTGTCAACAGATGGTGTTTCCAAATAAGAAAACAATAAAATGTTGTTTTCAAAATAACCACTGTTTAAAACTACATTGGGATTGAGTCAGAAGACAAAATTTGCAGAGGCCTAGACAAATCTTTAACTGGGAATGGTCTGAAATGCAGTATAAAACATTGTTTTACTGTTTATTATTCACAGTCCAGTTACTGATTTGAATCCCAAAGATAGCTCATCGATTCGAATTCTTCACCTGGCTCATACCAACTACAGTGTTGATGTAATATATCCACAGGGGTAGATGGATCATGGCTTAGAGTCCCCTTATCGTCGGGCTTACTATGGGAAATTTTCGTGGTTTTCCTTTCCATATAATGCAAATGCAGGTTAATTCTATCAAAAAATTCTCTGCGAAGGCAAATTTCTCCCACTACTTGATCCAAGAATTCCCTTGTCTTCTGGATTGGGTTCAAAATTACAAGGTAGTAGTCGTAAACATTAGTAGTCGTAAACCCAAAAAATTGGGTTGGCTGTTCAAGACGATTATAAAATAAAATATGACCACCTTTCGCAAAGTGATTCTCTGAGGATGATTTATGCTTTGTTATTTTATAATAATACGAGATCATTTTTGTCTTGCTGAAGAAAAGATCATTTTTGATCTGTTCCGATAAGTCTTTTTATTTATTAACTTTTGTACCTATTTATTTTATTAATCTTTTCTTTGTTAAATCTGAAGAATTACATTCCTTCAATATGGATAAAATTTTCACATTCATAATTTTGTATAAGACTGCAATTTTGCATGTAGACCACTTTTCAATTATTAAAAAATGTTAAAATTATAAAAATTCTAATATTTTTCCGAAAAAATTTGGCAAACGAGTTTTTAAATTGACAACTTATTAAATGCAAATTTTCTTTTTGAGGTAGTCGTTTCGTTTTCAATTCGTTTTTATTTCCTTAGCATTTTCTATTTCGGCTTGATTGCCAATCCAAGCTGTCTCAAATCATTCTTTATTTATAACGATTTTTATAAGAGTGTGCAGTTAAATTTTATTTTCACGAAATATGGTTTAGAAACATAATACATTAGGTTGGCAATAATTATGAAAATAAATTTTTAAATAATTGATTTTTACAATATAGAAGCCATAATACTTAATTTCCATCATATCCTTTTCCTGAAAATTTTGATTTTATACTAATTTTTCTCTATTTCCTCAAAAATATAAAAGATAGTAAATAAATTCTGGAGAAAGAAAGGCGAAGAGGTTGCACGCATCATCTGTCATCTACGCGAATCATCTGTTTTCTATCTTTCTCAATCCATAAAGTTTTTTTCTCTTTTTCTATTAAGTTTTTATTTTTCTGATTATAAAGATGTTTATAATTGTCGGCTCAATATGCATTTTTAATTTAATTTTATTTTTATAATTGTATCAATTTTATTTTTACAATTGGCTGACACACAGCAAGCCAATACTTTTGGTCTATTGATCAGATTTTTGCGTATTAGGACTTAATCTTTAGTGGTTCGAGAGAGAGGCTATTATATGCTAATTACTTTAAGCAGACAATATTTTAAATTACGAAGTGAAGCACAAAAACTTACTTATCTGAATAAATTTTTTGACGGATTATGATTCCTGGCCCTGAAAATATAGGGGATAGCTGTAATCTGAGAAATGTTGTCCTAATAATTTGGTCAGGAGAGTGATCAAAAGCTAGGACCTCTTAATGTTAATGTTGCTTTTTGCGTATTTTGTCATATCTCGAGAACTTTTTACTTGAATTGAAACATTTTAGCACGCAATTATAAAATTTGTTTATCCAACGATAATTTTATACAAAAAATGATTTTTATTAATTATTTTTTGATTATTAATAGGAAAAAAAGAGTTTGAATTGTAAGGTATACATTTTTTTAATAGAATGTAATTTTTTGTTTTAAAATATAAAAGTTAAAAGAAATTAGTTGAATAGTTTCTCGCAAAATAAATTTTAAAAAATCAGACTTTTTGAAATCCGATTACTAAGTCAAAAGTTATTCAAACTAATTTTTTTATGCACTACAATAATCTTTCTCCATCCACAAATATCAAATATTAATTGCTAAAATATTCGTGTTAGCATAAATTTATTACAATATAAAATTTGAATAAAATGCATATTTTCTTCAAATTTTTTTTTAGATAAATTATTTCTTAATGTAATGTAATAATTTCTTAATGTGTTTTTCTCTAAGATATATGACAATCTTTGATAATGTTGTAAGTTAACAATAATTTTTGTTGGCCAAGGTTGAAATACTTTCTAATTCTTTTTTTTATTTTTCTTAATTCTTCCTTGAAAATAAATTACTAATTTTTTTCAAAGCTGCATGCAAAATTTTAATACATTATTTGTTTTACTAGTTAACTATTTATTTAATATTCAGAGACTCTTTCTTTTATTTAAAAATTTCCGATTTTTTTTCAGGAAGGTTGAAAAAATGTGTTTTGTTTAAATTGAAAATACAGTCTTGAATTATTTTAATCCAAAAGAAAAAAATAATCAAAATAAAAATAATAAAAATATGGAAAAAAAGACATTTGCAATAAATATTTTTTTCCAAGACATTGATATATCAGGCTATTGAAAGTCATAGATTTAATTTACGTCTATCTTTACTTTTTCCCCCATTGATTATATTTTTTATATAACTTTTCATTTATTGAAATCAAATCCAGCATTCAATTATAAATCACTTAGTTATTAATATATACCTATAAAATGAATATAATTCCTATAATGTTAGTTTGATGCATTTTGGCAGATATCCACCTGAATATCCCTCTCTTGAAATCTTACTCTTTCCTTTCCCTGTGCACACAAAGTTTAAATTCAGAAAATCTAATATATATATATATATATATTTAAAATTTAAGTTTTAGTTTTACTTTACAGTAGAGAGAGCATCAAATAAATAAAAAGCAAAGTTGTGCAAGAAGGTAAAATTAGGCAAAACCAAATGTGAAACAGTAACGTGACATTGCAATGTATCGAAACATCATGATGTGTAAGTGGTGATGTATCATGTTGCTGAAATCTTAACATCGCCCAGTCCTTGATGCACTAGATTTTCCACATTGCTGATTTTTTATGCCATTTTGCTATGCAGTTTACAAAATTAGCCATTTTAAAATTATTTCTCCCCTGATCTGAAAGCCAATGATTATGCTGTTTTGGGTGTCAAATAAATCATTCCGTTTTTGCATTATGTAAGCGATTATGCTTCGGATTCCCTTTAATACCCTTTATATACACTTCAGTACAATGTACTTCCACCTCCCTTCTGTAATTGGTTATTTCAGGTTGATGTTTAAAGTAGGTGATTATCACATTAATGTGACTGGGTTGTTTATTTTCAATGCTTTTAGTTGGTGAAGTTTGTAATTAATTTTTAAACTTAATTGTAATAAATTTTCTGGTGTTCAAAGTAAAATCAGAAAAACAATTAATTTATTTTCTGCTACCTATTGGCCATCGAAATGGTCTACAGATGGCATGGAGAAGAACTCTCTACCTATGGCAACATTTCTCCTGCTTTCACCATTAACGTGTGGAGAGTCATAGAAGAAGGAAGTACATTAGTTTCTGTCATGATTTTCATATAGATTAAAATCTTTTAAGTTAGGAAACTATATGGAACTGAAAACTACATTAAACATAGTTCTAAAAGAAATCACCATGGAAATTTTAAAAGAATATTTTCATTAATTGAAAAATATTAAGAAAAGGAAAAATATCATAGATTCCTATACAACTGAAAAGAGGAGGAGTGGGAAGCGCCAAAGGCTGGGAACCGGTCTTCTCCCCAGATGGCGTATTCAAGCGATGCAATTGCCTATTACCTTTCTTATTTCTAAATTTATTCAAATCTAAAAATATTGAGCAAAAATAAAATTTTTTAATTAATAAAAATCAATATCAAAATTGCAAAGTACATGAAGAAGAAAGATAGCAAACATTTTTTTAATGCATCCATATTTTACTAAACACGTCCTTTCTCCAATCATATATTTCAATTTAAAGAGTCAATGTGTGATAAGTATCTTTTTTTTTTTTTACTTACCAAAATAGGACAAATTTTGCTTTTGTTTTCTGGAAAAGTACCATATTATTTTAAGCACTGCACTTTGGTAAAAATGGGAGAAATAAAAAAAAAGCCATCCGAACTTCTGCTCTGGTGTAAATGCTGTAATAATGATGAACTGCATGTATCAACATTTTAAAATTAGTGATAGTTGATCAAGTATGCTTAATATATAGCACCTGTAAAATAACAGAAATGTTTTTTTGCAAACATCAGCAACAAAGTTTTCATTTCTAAAAAGAAAACAAAATAAATTCTCTTAACAGGTTCATGTAAGTACAGCACTTCATATACCATTTTGGCAATACTGGAATAAGTGTGCGCAGCAGTCAAAACGAATAATTATAATGATGAAAAAAAACTTTTAAAATGATAATAAAATAATAATTTAAATATTTTAATGTAAAAAGTTTTAAATGTACCAATGAACATAATTCGAATTTCTAAGCAATTTAACTAAAAAAACTTAAAATACATTATCAAATTCATGAAATCTTGAGTGTAAGAAATCTGAACTTTTATTTGAAGTTTCATGAGCATACATAGAAAGAGGAATTTTCTTTTCCAGCTTTTTCAAAAAAAAAGTGTGTGTAATAATACTAGCCAGTTGGCAACACACCTAAAATTAAAGCTATTATGTTTTAACTTTGATAGAGAGAGGGAGAGCAAAATAATAAACACTACCATTAAAAAAATATTACTACCCAGAAGTGTCGATAGGGAGCTTGCAGCAAGGAGAGGTGTGTGCAAATTGATGTAACTAGAAAAAGTTTGGAAAAATTTTAAATTAATAAATTTATTAAAAAAAAGATAATAAAAAAACGTTATTTATAATTGCTGAAAAAATATACCTAAATTCTTCAATTCACTTTTTCTACTTTCAAAGAAGTTCAGGATTTCATTAAGTTCAATATCAACTTCACTAGTAAACACCTCAGAATTTCTGCCATCTTTATTTTTCCTGAAACTCATTTCTTTATACTTTCCATGTTCCAGTTTTCATTCATCAAAAGTATTAAGGAAAAATTTCTAGTATTTGAAATTGTACTAGAATAAGCTTTAAGCTATAAAAAAAGTGAAGAGATAATCACTAGCAAATGTTGTTTTTTTATGTTATTTTTATTTTTACTTTTTATCTAATATTTTTTATAGGGGTCATTAAAGGATGAAACTGTTAATAATCCTTCGAAATATTTGGTCAAGGAGGAACGCCTGCCTATGCTTTTTGATCGGTAGGTTAAGCAAAAATTTTTCTTATATTTTTTGCCAGAGCAAACCATACATTTCTGTATCTATTTAACGCATATCAAATACTCTTGACACTTTCGTATTTATAATTTTTATTGTATTCTAAATTAAAACATTATGAATTAAGTTTTCAGCTATCTTGTTTTTTTATTAAATTGAGGAAATTATGGTCAGACAAATTTTTTTTACGATTCTTTAAAGTTTTTTCATAAAATTTTTCAAAAAATTTAAAAATTTTTATGAAATTTTATTAAATAGAGCAAAAATGTGCCACTGCACTTATATTCTAATTTTCAAAGACAGATGATCTTGTCAGTTCTATAACAAGAATCACATCAAGGCCATGACAATAATGGGAATTTTACTTTTAAAAGTAATGAGTAAAAGTATATGTATTTAAAGCAATAATAACAATTAAAACACGTAAAGTACATATTATGAAAAATAAAAACTAGAAGGTACAAGAACAAAAAAAAGTACAGATTTTTAAATACACTTTGAAATAATTGAAAACTTAAAGTAGCCTAAACTTTTATCAAAAAATGTGATGTATCTATATATCAAATAATTTTTAATAATTTAATTTAATTTTCAACTAAATTTCATTTCAAAAGATTGGTTACTTAGGTTGCTTAGAATATCTTTTGATGATATTTCATTTCAGTTAACAATACTGCTAAAATGAAAGCACAGTAAAGCTATTTCATAAGCAGCTATTTATGTAAAGTATTTGAAACAGTAAATGTTAACTTTTGCATCTTTCTAATATAGAATTCAACTCTGATGACATGTAAAATATTAGGGTGATCTCTCAATGGAAGATTTTTTGTAGAGATCTTACCTATTTACGTAAGAATGGAAGAGTATAAAAGCTTTCTATGATGATTCCAATATTGCTAGATCAATATTGGGCTATTAACCCAATTTTGGTTTACCAGTGTGTAAATCTTAAGATAGATTAGCAGCCCTCAGTTTGATACAGTAATGAAGCGCTTTCCAAAGTTGAATCATTTTCTTCTTGTAAAAAGTATAATTTCCAACTGATCTACTTAACAGATTTTTTGGCCTGTATTCAAGTATATCTCTTTATATAAAAGAGCTTTTAATAATTTTTCTTCTCAGAAGTATTGAAACTAAAACTTTTGAGAAAACTATTATGAAAAACTTTTTTTTTTGACTCTTTAAAAAGATTTTTTTTTAAAAATGTAACTAATCTCTTTTGATATTCTCGTAACAAATTTTGATATGTTTTACTTAAAAAAGAAATGAATGTGCAAGTAAAGTACTGAATTTTAAAAGAAAAGTATTAGAAGTGAAAGTATGTACTTATTAATACATTTTTTTAAACTTTTAATGAAAGTAGAAGTATTGACGTGTATGGACCAGGCATAGAATAAAGAGATAATTATAGAACTGCTACAAGATCATTTGAGCTCTGAAAAAATTTAAAAAATCAGTTAGCTTGTGAGGAGAAGATTTAATATGCATACAAAATACATTCATTAAATTTATGTTAATTTTTTTTCTTACTTGCATTTGCAAATCTCTATTAAACAATTTCTGAAATGGTCATCAGGTTATAAAAACTTAGTACATTGTTATTCATATTTATCTCCACATGTTGCAGAAGGAGAGACTTTTCTAGTTTCTCAAAGCTGTTTATTAAAGTTAAAAAAAATATATATAAAAAAATAACTTTCTTTCTGAAGAAACATTAGGTTTTGGAGATAAAACTTAGGTCTAATTTTTTTTTTATCATTATAATTCAGATACTTTTTTTCATTCCTTGCTGACTATTTATTACAGCCTTAAAATTTGTATATCTTACATATCTCATTAAAAATATTTCAAAAGATTCATATATCCTAAAATTCATAATCTTCATATGCCTTAAAATTTATGTACCTTTAATATCTTTTATACCTTATATTACTTTAATCTATCTATTTAAATTAATTGTATGTAGCAGTGGGCAAGCTTTTCCTTATTCTAATTTATTAAATTATTACCTTTGCTACCGCTTGAAAGTCTTTTTTTTCTGAAACGATGGACAATCCCTAACAGTTGGCAGGTTTGCATATAAGCTTTCATATTCAAAACCTTTTCAAAAAAAAAAAAACATTATGAGAGAAATGAGAAGTGTGTCTTAGTCTTGCTGTAGTTAAACTGTTGATGTAGTTGTTTTATGTAGTTGAATCAAACCAGTTTGCTAGGTATGAACAAATGTCAAAGTCTTTCTAATTTTGAAAAAATAAATTAATAAAAATCAAGATTTTTAGAGAAAAAAAATCTTTTTTTAAAAAAATAAATTATTGCAATAAATATTAAAAACTATCATTTTTCATTGATCAATGAAGATAAAAGCATGATACTTACTAAAAATCACAGAATGATATTTAGCAAATGCAGGTTCAATATCATTATGGTGAAGACTTTAAAATAATAGGGAAAATTGTTATTTTTATCTCATTGCTTCAAAAAAACTTTTCCGTTTTTATGTTCTTTATTGAAATATAATCCTATAATTTTTGTCTATTTTAATCAAAAGGCTTCCTTAAAAAGAATACTTCAGAACTAGAGTGCTTGACAGAAATGATCATTATAGCACTTGTTTAAATACTCTTCTAGCTCAATATTTGCTGTATACTGCCATTTTTAATTTGCATATTTTTGAAAAATGTTACTGTTGGGGACATTTATCAATGAATTGATTTAATTTTGATAAAACAGAGTCTATTAATTTTGGGTGGATGAACAAAGATTGTATATTCTGCCTCTTGCTATGAAAAAGTTAATGAAATAATAATATAATTTTGTTAATATTACTCTTCTGATGAAATTTTTCTGTATTTCAGAATGCATGAAGCTGGAAAAAAATCTTTCCTTCTTACTAACAGTGATTATGCCTACACCGCAGTGAGTAGCATTTAAGACAATGAAAAATTGTATCAGTAATGACGTTTAATTCTGTGTGACTAAGAACAATATTGTGATATGCGCTTAGAATTATATGCAAACTGTTATATGCTGACAGTATAAAATACAAAAATACCCTCAGTAACTATTAATCTAAAAATTGCCCTGTAACTTTTATCAGATTTCACAATTTCAGGTGTAATAAAATTGTGGAAACTAAAAGCCAGTAAAGTTAGTACATATAGCTTAATCTTTAAAAATATTTCTAGTTCATAAATGTAAATAACTCCAGTTCTAACATTCTCCACTAACTCTAAGGTTCGAAATGTTTTATTATATGTTTTTTATTTATATATTTAATTCGTAATTGCAAAAACGTTTTTACTTATAGATAAGGGGTTTACAAATTTTAATGGTATAGTCAAATACTTAAGACTCATTGATGTGATTGCAACATTTCTCTCTAAGTTTCTCCTTTGGATAACTATAATTGAGACACCTATTAACTTAAATAGAAAACTTTTGTGCTCCCTTTCCCCAAAAAGCAAATATTTCTGCATTTTTTTACTTATATATTCATTTCTAATTGATTCCTATACAGTTCAAAAATTATACCATGCAAAAATTAATGAGGTATAATATCTTATGCTTAAGAACTATAACTAACCTGTTAGAGAGAAAAAACTGGTAGTAAATTAGTTTCATTTCTTGAATGCTTTCAGGAGGAGTAAAATACCTGTAATAAACAAAAATTAGTCACAAGATCGATATATAATTTAAAAAATTCCACGAGTAAATGTATTGGTCATAATCAAGAAAAAAAAACAGTAGTCCTGAATAATTTACTTTTCCTAAAATAACATGTGAAAATGAAATAGCTTTACTACCAGTTTTTTCATTATTTTAGGTAAGTATCATATATTTCGTCGCAAGCGCCGCTTCGTCGCAAGCGCCGCTTCGTCGCAAGCGCCGCACCTCGATAAAAATGAAATTTTTAAAAAAAAGTTATAGTAAGCGCCGCTCCGGCGCAATTGCCGTAATGGCGCTAAACCGCGCATATCAACATTCTTTTAGAAGAGACCTTTAAATTACCATTTAGAATATCTGTATAATAAAAAATTAAATTTTTTATGCATTTCATAAAGTAAAGTTTTAATTTCTAAATTATAATAAAAAATTTCTTTTTCAGCGAAAAAAAAAAGCAACAAAAAAAAGTTTTCTCTTTCAGCAAAAAAAAAAAAAAAAAAAAAAAAAAAAAAAAAAAAAAAAAAAAAAAAAAAAAAAAAAANAAAAGAAAACAACAAAACTATATAAAATAAAGTTGTTCTTACCAGTTGGCATAGCGCCAAAAAACAGAAGAACAGCAAATAAATATTTATATGTTCAGTAGCTGAATTAACGCTGAACTGATTACAGAAATCCGTGAAACAATGTAATAAAAAAAAAAAATGTATTAAAAGAAAGATTTTAAAATAAAAAGATTTTAAAATTTATTACCGTTAACAATTTGAGGAAAAACTAATACATAATAACGAAACAGCTAATAATAGCGAAATGACTAATAATAACAAGAATAAGAAATAACTAAGAAGGCCCCAAAAAAATTCTGAAGGAATGACCAAAGGGGAAATAAGTTTCACTTTCACAATCTTTTGGGGTGGAATTTTAGTGGGTAGAATGCCCTCCTTCAATGGAAATAACCCAATGTGACTCACCTTAGAAAGAGAGGCGGCCCTGGTGTACCCCACCTCCTCCACGTGTTTAGGAGGAATCAATCAGTTATTTTTTAAAGGAGTTGGGGAAAAGAAAAGTATATGGGACCCCTAATCCAGCATTCCAAAATTCGACACTTAATCTGATCTAATCTTTTTCTTTTTTTTTTAAGAAATGTATATTGATAAGACAAAAAAAATCAGGTATATTCTTTTTATTTGGAATTTTATTCTGTTGAAGTAACTTACTTTATTTTATCTTTTAAAAACAAAAAAGAAGCTTGAAAAAAAATCTGTGTCAAAGGAAACATCTGTTTCTAAAGCAGTTTAAAATAAAGTGAGAAGTAAAAACACCTGTATTTCCAATGAACAAAATAAAGAAATGGAAGTTGGAAAAAACTGATCAATCAATCTTGACAGCTGTGCTGATTTGCCCCCAAATTTCCCTCCTCTGTTTGACCATAAATTGGCCACACCCAGTTGACATTGAAACTACCACGTGGACAAAATGAATTCTATCCCTTTTGCGGTTTTTTATTCGATTCATTAATTTTTTATTTTATTTTGCCGCTTTTTATTTTTTCTTGTTAATTGTTGCTTGCATGTTTTTTTTTTATCGTTATTAGTTTTTAGCTTGTTTTTTGTTGTTATTCATTGTTAGTTTCTTAGCATTAATTGTTAAATTTTTTTTGTAGTTCCCTGTTAGCTTTTTTTTCTTTTCTTGCGAGGTAAGCGTCTTTTGTTAAAACAAAATGTTATCTAAAAGAAAAAACGAGAACTATGATCTCGCTCCAAAGAAGAAACGATTATTTCTTCTTCATAGGAATCGGATTATTTCTTCCTGATTATATTATATAGATTATTATTTTGATTAGTAAAATTTCTCTTAAGATTAAGTTTTAAATTCACCCCATAATCTACGATCGAAACTAGACTAAATTTATTGGTTTTTCTGAAATTAACAGTGGAATTGAATTATAGTAATATTTGGGGGCCATATTGGAATTTCCGAAAGAGATCCGAAGTTCGGCATTTCTTCAGTCCCGTGAGTGTCGGATTTAGGGTCCTATTCTTCCTTTTCTGTTAGTTAAATTGCCAAGGCGCTAAATAGATTTCTAGCTTGCGATTTTTCTTTAAGCTGGGGGTGGATACAAGATGCATACCTTTTAAATTTTCTCCTTATGCGATGTTTTTTTTTAAATTTTTATTTCGTTTATTTATTTTCTTACAGGCTGCTGCCGAAAGTTTGCTAAGAATTGGCGATGTTCTGCAGCAGATCGCGATACGGGCGAATATTTCGTCGACTTCGTTATAAAATTTTTTTAATAGTCTTTCTCTCAGAAAATTATTTCATCTTAAATAACTTACCTTGAGAAATTTTTTTGCTACTAAAAAATATTTCGTCGGAAGCGCCGCTGCATCGGAAGCGCCGCATGTAGGAAAAAAACAACATTTTTTTCGATAGTGCCGCGGCTCTTCCGCCGAAAAATACGGTAACTACCCTGGTGTTCAAAAATCAGGAAAAGATTTTTGTGTTGCTTATGTTACCAAAATTTTTGTTTTAACTGTACAGTTTATGGTTTTTTCATCTTTTTATTACTGATGTTATCATTGAGTTTCTATTGATTAATTGTTACAATTTTTAATAGAATTAAAGCAATATTAATGTTTACTTTTTCCAGCAAATTATGTCGTACTTATTTGATGTCCCCTCGGGAAATGGAGTAAGTTTTTGATACTATTTTATTTTTTCATTTATTGCTTGAATCATAATTACCTAAGTTATGCATATATTAGCTATAAATTAAATAGAATTGTTAAAATGGAGGTAATAAAATGTATACTTTTAGACAAAATCACTTATTGTAACTTTCCTGAAAAATTATCTTTAAAATTTATACATAGCACATAGATGGTACATAACACCTAGAAAATTTCTAAATGTTAAAATGAGCCTTTTGAAACTTTTCTTAAAATTTAAAAGCATAATACTGTAACTTAAAAACCCTATGTTTAAAGAATAAATTTATTTTATTGTAGTTTTTATTGTAATGTGATGTGACCAATGAGTTATGATATAACCAATATTTTATGATTGTTTTGTTTATTGACTTAATCTTTGGATAATTTTATTTTGATTGTTTATTTTACTTCAGAGAGATTGGAAGGAATACTTTGACTATATAGTTGTTGATGCAAAGAAACCAGGCTTTTTTGGTGAAGGAACTATTTTGCGCCAGGTTGACACTGTAAGTTTCAATATCTTTATCAGTACCTTTAATATTTATTTCCAGTTTTCCTTGTTTATATATTTATATATATGAAAGTAAAACATTTCCGTAACAGCCTACTAAGAGCTAATGTTCATGGAAGTGTAGACTCCTCAGTTTCGGGATAAATGGTATGATTACAGTAATGTGATCTGCATTATGCTCAAGCAGTTGTTACTTCCCTGACAAGCTGATACCCATCAATCTGAAACTGGGTGGGCGTCATGTCGCCACTTGGAACTCTTTTTCACAATGACAGCTAAGTGCCTATCACTAATCAGCTATTGCAGCTCGTATATATTTGCATATATTTATATGCAGTCATAACAATTTATGCAAGCAAATAAAATTATCATTACAGCAAGCTTGTTATGAGAAAATCTACATATTTAGTGTTAAAATATCAATAAGAAGACTAAAAATGAAATAGACTTATTTACTTTTTCTTTTATTTTGAGCAATTATTTTGATTTAAAATACATATCTAGATTAGACTGCATTTACCTAAAGATTCTAAAACTGAAATATATAGCTCTGTACTTCGGCAGGGTAGCCACCCACCTGGAAAACCTAAAATTAACAGGGAATTTTTTTATACTGGAAAAATCAGGGAAATTTGGATAAAAACCTGGAAAAATCAGGAAAATTTAAAAAAAAACAGGGAATTTTCTTCGATTTTTTTAAAAAATGTTACTAATTTAAATTATTTACTAATTTTCTTACTTAAAATTTTTTTAACGTCCTTTACACCCACTTTTTTTAGATGGATTATGAATCGCCAAAAAGTTGAAATGTCATCAACTTAACAATACTTTGCCTCCATCAAAATTTGCTCCATTATAATCCTGTTAAACGAAAATGCAACAGATAACTTTCCCATGTAAGCTAAACAAATAGAGAAACCTTATACCCCTATTTAGATTATGGGACTGTGCAGTTTAGAAAAGCAAAGATTGTGGTGAAGGTGAAGGAAGGAGTTAGGATATTTCCTTCTGTTTTTAAAAGTTGTTTTTTTCCCTTCTGGTTAATGGGCTGAATCCATTTTTAGTTCGAGTTTGTTCCAATGCTTTGGTGGTAATTTTTTTTCTATTTTGCGAAATGATTAAAATGTTTTAGTATTTTTAACTTACTAAAATTCTCCAAAATTTAGATGTTTATAATTTCATGGCAATAGATTTTATATTGCACTCTATTTCTGAAAGCTTTTGTCTTCTCATCCAATGAAATCTGTGAATTAGTTTTTCTTAGCAAACCCAACCAATCACACATTTTCTTACAGTCGCTAACAGTAATGTTTGTTGACAAATCGTTACAGTTGATGCAGTAATGCTAATTTTCTCAATTTCATTTTAACTTTTTGCAGCATATTTTAATTAAAAAAGTTTTTTTTAAGAACCAAATATATTTGATTTTTGATTCAAAATTCTTATTGTATAGTGATCACAATATCGAAAGCTCCTAAATGTTGTTTGCATTCCAGAGATGATTTTTCCAAAACTGTTCCTCCTTTTACCCTAAAAAGCTGACAAAGACTAAGGAAAGAATAGGAAACATGTTAAATGATGTATAAATATAGACTATGAAAATATTTTATTTATTAAATAGAAAACAAACCTTTGTTTTTTTGTTCTGCACTGTACAGGTACAAGTGTCTAGTTGTAAAAGCAAAAACAATTAACTTTGCTAAACTAAAATACCATGGATTTAGATTAGAATTCTGTAAATATTTTTATTTCAAATGAGAAAAAAAACAAAACAAAAAAGAATAAAATTTAAAGAATTTTATCAATGTTTTTCTATAGAGTATGCAACAAGTAACTAGACAATATTGCATTGGCGACATTCATTTTTGTATACTGAATCTCTTAAAATAAAAATGCTTATTCGGAACAACATTATTTGAACATTTGATTTAAGATACTGGGTTAAAGGAAATATGATCAATAAATTTTGTAAAGAGCACTGTTTAGATAAAATACAGTATAAATGGCTTTATATTGAAATTTAAATATAGTGGCTCACAAAAATATTCGTAGACTTATGACTTTCATTGAAATAAGACTATCCATTAATTGTAATCAATATTTCATAGAATGGATATTTAATAATAAAAAAATATTTTCTATTCTTAGCAAACCTGTATGGAATATTTTAAAAACATAGCAAAAGTTTAAGTAAAACAAAGCAATGCAAAAGTTTTATGAAATCAATAATCAAAAGTAAAAAAAACTTTATCTCACAAAAGTCATAGTACACTTTTAAAAACTATCCACCTATTAGTAAATTTTCTAATTTTTTGTTAAAATAACGTTTAGTAGAGTTTCCTTTTGCATCTACAATAGCTGTTAAGAGTTTGTAAATAAATGTAAATAGTTTTTTTTTGTGGGGAGGGGTGAAATTTCAACAGAATATTTTATATTGAGTTTAACAGAAACTTTTACAACACTCAAATCTAAGTTAATTAATTTTTCCACAAATTTTATAATTTTAATCTCTGATATGAAGTCCTTCTTTCTAGCATTTTATTACATATTGCACGGTGAAGTAGGACACAATAAACTAATTTAGCAATATTCATTACTGATGTACATCTGATGATGACAAATAATCAACTTTAAAATATTGTCTATTGTTTTATTATGACTACGAGCAGATTTTAAATGTAAAAAGAAAATATTACAAGTAAAAATTAAAATATAATTTTGCTGGTTTGATACTAAATTTCAAATAAATAAATAAAATTTAAATAAAAAATAATTATATAAAAAAATTAAAGCAATAGACCATAATTTTAATTCTGAAATCCAAAACATTTTAATGTACAGTGACTTTTGTGAGTTAAAATTTTTGTTACTCTTCGATTATTGATTTCTTAAAAATAAACTTTTAGCTCTTTTAAAATATTCCAAAAATAGATTAAAAATTAAGAATGCTAAGAATAGGTTATACATCTTATTATTAAATATCTATTTTGAAATATTATTTTTAATTAATGAATAGAGCTTTATTTCAATAAGTTATAAGTGAACGAACCCATTTGGGAGCCATTGTAAATATAAAAATTTCCTGATATATAATCACCTGGAATGGTTTTCTTTTGCTCAATGAAAATTTATGAATACTTATTGAAGTTTTTTTTGCTCATTCTGTATTTGCCATTTGGTACACTTTGAGTAACACATTGAAAAAAAAATTTATTCATTAAAAGCAGTTTATTCTACAAGCTAAACATATTATTTTCTCTCCACATGTCTCTTAATTTTTTAAAAATTAATGTTGTACCAAAACATTAAAAAATAAAATCTTATCAAATTGTCAAAATTAATTTAGTCTAATTATTTTTTCACGATGATATATTAAAAAAATAACATTTTAAATAAAACACTTTATTGACACTTTTCTTGTGTCTACACTTTATGAGAAAAAACTCTTTATCAGAAAAAGAAATCCTACGACATCCTACACTTTATGAGAAAAAAACTGACCTAGAAATTTTAAGATTTTTACCTTCAAAAATCAGGGAAATTTGAAACCTGATTTTACTGGTCACCCTGTTTATAAAATGTCTATGACAGGAATTTTTCAAAAAATGAATTTCAAAATCATAACAAGTTTTTTAAAGAAGAAAATTAAATGAAGTGTAATACCTTTCAATGTTTAGATGAAAGTGAATGCTAATTTTAATATTAAGTTGTCAAAAAAGGAAATAAGAGGACATGATAGATATGTTGTCAACAAAAGCCGCATTCTTTTGAAGTGTTCAGCGTGAAAGTTGCCTAAGAACTTTTCTTCTGTTGAAAAGAAAATGAAGCTGATGGTCAGAAACACATTGCTTGATGAAGGAAACAATATTTGTTTTTCGCTTTCCTGTATTGATACCAGAAGAAATGTCTTCTGTTTAAACCTTTTTTTGTATAATATTGCTCACTTTACTGTTGAAATACTTCTTTCCCTATAAATTTTAGTCGTGAGGCAAATTATTTTTGACTCATTAATTAACTCTTCATTTGGAAATCTGTCATAATTACATACTTCTCGTAATAATCCATACTCGGTGTTTTAAGTTTTTAATAATACGTAATATAAATTATTAAAAATTGACAGAAATGAGGAAATTAAAAAGTTTTAATTGAGTGTGCATGAGCTGCAAGTTCATAGAATTAGTATATATAACAAGTACAAATAACATACATACAACATATAGCAAATACATATAATCTAATCACACAAAGGAAACATGAAAATAACAAAAAAGAAAAAAGAATCAAGGAGTTAACTATAAAAAATATTCAATAAAAGAAGAATTACTAAGTTTTAAAAAGAATGTAACAAAAGAGTTAAAGCTTAATTTCAATAAAGTTTAGTTAAACATGCTAAGATATAACTTCTTAAACTCATGCAAATTTATCTGCAAAAATTAGTACTTTCTGATATTGTCTTAGTATTGCAAAAGTAAAAAATATCAAACCAATAGTGTTTGATATTTTGCTTTTGCTTTTTTTGCACATGCTTTTCTTAGGTAAATCCAAGGCAACAAACCTATCAGTTTAGTTTTCAATTTCAATATGAATGCACCTTAAAAAATCTAACCTTAATTTATCTGTTATGTTAATTTATCTGTAATTGATCTAACCTTAATTTATCTGCACCTTAAATTATCTGTTAAGCTTTAATTTCATATTTGAAATTTAGTTGTAAAAATATATTTTTAAGTAAGTTAATATATTGTTAAGCTTGTATACAGTGGAAAGTTCTATTTCCAGAATCGTTGGGACTTCGGCAGGTCCTGACAATAGAATTTGCGGATTATAGTTCTATAAGGTAAACAACATGAAAACATCCTTATTCAATGAAAAATAACAAATAGACAATAATTAACGGCAAGTTTAAAAGTAACTGATAACTTAGTGTTGCAACTTATAAATCCATGTGGTTGCGCAATTTTCACAGCTTTTGTTACACATTTTCACATAGTTTTTAAAATCTCAATATTTTAATATGCCATTATAGCATACCTCTAATTCCAAATCACGCATTTCAGTTTGTAATCATTTCCTGATCCACTAGTTCAGCGAAAATTACACAGTGAATCCGGGTTGTTTTTCGGTAGTTTCAAACAGGCATTTTGCTTTGTTTTTAAAATCTCAATGTTTTAATATGATGTTATTTCATTCGGAAAACTTCAAATCGCACTCTATTATTGACAATTCTCTGCAATCCCACATCCATTTACGATTGCATTGTTGTCAGTTGTTGCTATGGATTTTCGTTTTAATGTCGATCACATTTTTAATAGTTTAAGATTTCCAAATAATTTAAAAAACTTGGTTTTCATTTTTTATATTATATTATTATGATCCGCAAAATCTGAATCGCACTTTTGGATAATCACTTTATGACCCACTTTTGTCATGACAATTTCATTTCAAATCCACAATTTTTTCAAAATGTGAAATTTTTGCAAGCTCGCAAAAATTGGGTGTGTGATTCTTGTTGGTAATAATCCTTTTATGTGAGACAATGAGAAAAAAATACTCTATATTTTTGTGCTGTAATGATATGCTGAATTTTGTTACGGTGATATCAAATCTTTTTTCTTATTATAGCAAAAAATCTGCAGGAAATCGAAAAAAATTAGAAATTGGGACGAAATTGTAAAGCAGAAAAGCAGAAATTAGCAGAAAAGCAGAGGATTCAGATCCATGAATATTTTTAATAGATTAAAAGTGTAAAAAATTTTTTTTTTCTTTCAAAAAGGAAAATAGTTTGTTTATTTTGATTATTAAAAGGTGTCTGGCAAAGAGACCCTTCCGGTATACAGATGTCCATATATGGGACTTTGTATTGTATCTATACACACATGCACCACAGACACACATATATATGTAATGAATTAATATTTAGAAAAAAATATTAGAAAAACTTTTAAAAAAATCTTTAATTTAAGTCATTAATCTTCAATTTAAACCATTATGCTCTAATAAACATGCACATAAGCTGCCAACGAAAGTTAGAGCAAATATATCATAAAATATGATATAAAAAATACAGTTACATAAATAGTAAATATAAAAATAATAAAAGTATTGTAACTCATCAGTGGCCAACAGCACCACATATCTTTTAAATGAAGATGTGTTGGGTTTCTGCCTAACAATAATATAGACAGACATAACAATAATATTGGCCTATAACCAAACCATGTTGTGTTGTTGGCTGCTGATGAGTTACAGCATTTTTTATATTTATTTATATTATTGCATTTATATCATATATATATATATATATATATACTAGGAGGCTTCNACATATATACACACATATATATATATACACACATATATACACACATATATATATATACACACATACATATTTGTGTGTTTTATTTTGAATTTTTATGTTTTTGCTTGATTAAATTATCTGCAGTTTTTTCTCCTCAGTCTTTTGTGTTGATATTTTTTGTATTGGTGATTTTAATTCTATGTCAAAAAGCTCTAACGTTTTCAGATGTAACTCTTAGAACTGCAATTGTAGGTAGAATGAGTTGCATATAATTCCAATTCTGAGCATTAAATTTGTTTCTGTTACATAAAAAAAATGTGGAGCACTTAATGCTATGTACTGCAATTTTTTATTTTTTAATATCAAGAGGTAGTGAGGAAAACAAGGAATAATTTTAAGACACCTTGTATGTTGTAAACTTCAATAGTTTTACAACAATAAACATTTTACCAACTTATTATGTCTAAATAAAGTTAGATTAAGAAAAAACAATATTTTGAATGTATTGAAATATCTAATGAGTTATTTATTCTAATACACTATCTGTTTCATACCCATGTTTGTTTTAATATATAGAATTTCTTGTAGGAAACTGGCTCTCTTAAAATTGGCATTCATGTTGGCCCTCTTTCTCCAGGACAAGTATATTCTGGAGGTAAATATTAACTGCTTTGTAAATGTTAAGAGTGCTATTTTTTGTTTTGAATAGAAAATCTTGAATATAATGATTAAAAAGTCATATAAAGATTGAACAATGATAAAAGTGACTTTATAAGTAAAATTCCAAGAAACTCAATTATCTTTTATGGTTTCATTCCTTCAGCCTAGTTAAGTTTCATAATTTTATTTTCATCTCTTTTGAAAGAACCACTCTTTATTACACTGAACTTGAGTTTTTATTTAAGATAACTATGTTTTATCCTCTTATTTTCTTCCATAAGTAAAATTGCATTTCAACCTGCATTCTTTCAGCACGTTCAAAACAGTTTTGTGATATTAATATAATTAGGCATGTGATTTTTTAGTACTTTGCCTGAATTTTGTAATTGTGAGAGGTTAATAATGCTATGTTTTCTATTAAAGAAATATTTTTGCTTCAAATAAATAATGAACTGATTAAGATCCCTTTCTCTTATATTTAACAACCCTCTCTCTAACCTTAAATTTACCAGAACCTCTAAAGATTCCATAACAGGGCAAACATAATTACAGTAGCTTTTAATGGAATTCTTAACTTTTCTTCATTCTTAAAATGCCATCAATGGTAAACATTTGAAAATTATTTAAATTTTGAGGCCAGGATAGCCTGGTTGGTAGGGCACTGTGTCCATGTGGAAGAGGTCATGGGTTCGATCCTCGCCGGCCAAAGACTCCTTGTGTAGTAAATGGTGACTGATGCACGTTAAATCTGTCGAGTCACAAAGTCCTCCGTGTTCCCATAACAAATCATACCTCTGGGGGTACTAATCCAGGAGTTTCTTTGTCTTCTGGATTGGGTTCAAAATTACAAGGCTGCAGAGTAGAACATTCGTAGTCATAAACTGAAAAATTGGGTCAGCTGTTCAACGACGATTATAAAATAAAATAAAATTTCCAAATACTGAGCAGCGAGGGCTCATGGGACCGAGTGTTTGCCCTCCAATGGGGCTTGAATCCCAGTAGACGGATCATGGGTCAGAGTCCCTTTGCCGTTAGGCTTAATGTGGAAGGTATCCTTGGTTTTCCTCTCTATGTAACACAAATGTGGGTTAGTTCCATCAAGAAGTTCTCCACAAAGGCAAATTTCTCTCAATACTTAATACAGGAGTTCCCTTGTCTTCTAGATTGGGTTTAAAATTACAAGCCGACAAAGTTGAACATTAATAGTCGTAAACCTAAAAAATTGGGTCAGTTGTTCAACAATGTTTATAAAATATAAAAAAATTTCCAAATATTGTTGATGAATAAGTATTTAAGATTTTTGAAGTAAGATTTTTTTTTCTTTCATGATTTTTGTGGCAGTAAATAATACTTGGCTTTACATAAGATTGATTAAATAAAAAACAAGACTTATTTATCAATAACTTAGTAAATGAAAAACTTTAAAGGTTTAAATGAAATATAAATAATTGAAGCTTAGATCCTTAATCAGAAATGTTAACATAAGGAAAATATTGAATAGCATGAGTATTAAAGATGAGTAAAAGAAATTACTTTTTAAACAGGTTCTTCATTTACTTAGTCAGTGAGAAAATAAAAACACAAAAACCAATTAGTAATATATGTTTAGAAAAAATAAAAAAAAAGGTAAGCAATAATGAGGTGTAGTTTAAATCATAGCCTCATAACTATGAAACAAGGATCTTTAATTATGTTTTAAGTTAATGATCATACCATATGCCACCATTCAGTGTGGTTTTTGGGAGATACTTGGACAGGTGGTAAACTTTACTCATTATGATTATTTTCATTTAATACATGATATCTCTATAGTTAAAAGTGATAGAAAAATTATAATAGTTGCAATAATCTTTCTTGAAATAGTGACAGGCAGAATAGTTTTGAAAAATGGAATTTTAAAAGGATGCCATTTCTTATGTTTATTATTTACTTGTTTATTATGGTGTGCTTTAAAGTTTTCTCAAAAGATTTTTCTCATACTATGATACATCTTTTTTTAGGTAGCTCAGATGTCTTCAAATCTCTTATTAAAGCTAGTGGCAAGGATGTTCTTTATGTAGGTTAGTTGGTTTTAGTTATAATGCAAGAGCCGAATTTGAGCTTACCCCACCATAAAACAGTATTAAAAAGTATTTAAAGGACAAGGATAAAATTAAATGACTTAACTTTATTTAGGTGATCACATATATGGAGACATTTTGAAATCTAAGAAATCTCGTGGTTGGAGGACCTTCTTAGTTGTTCCAGAGCTTCAAAGAGAAGTTCATGTATGGACATCCAAATGTGATTTATTCCTTAAAATTCAAGATCTTGATGTTCAGCTTGGTGACACTTACAAGTAATATTTCTTAATTATTTTCTTTTACTGTCATTTTTTAGTTGAATTCTGCACTATTATGAGGGGAACAGAAGTGTAAAAAAATGCTTTTTCTACACCTGTCTTAAATGAGTCTAGTTTTTGCAAAGTTTGTTTTTTGCAAATTATAAAAAAGTTAATGCAATTCATAGAACACATTAAAAATGCTTCTTAAAAACTTTGATTAAATAATTGCTTAAATTGGATTTTTCTAATATATTGATATCGATTAAAATTAAAGAATGTATTTTTTTAAATTTTGCTTTCACTTTAATTAAACTCATGTATCCTTTTTGATGACAAAGGAAACATTATAATTTCTTAATTATGAAAATTGTTAGAAAATAGTCACAATTGTAAAGTTTATCTTCGTTAGATAATTATTGGTTTTACAATCAGAAAATGGCTTTGTAACTTTCTCTTACTTGTTTATTTTCTTCTATTTTTCGTTTTCGTTTTAGATATGGTTTCTATTACTGTTTGATTTTTTTATATTGTAGTTGGTATTATTGTAGTTTATTTACTCTGAATATGGCCTTTGTAAGTTACTTCTGCCTCTTGCGCCATTAAAGTGTGCCTTTAATTCAATCCAATACTGCAAAATCATTAGTTCTTAGCCAACTAATTTAATAAAAATGTAATATCAAATTATTTTAAAAATCATGCAACATAAATGCGCAGGAAACTCTTGAGAATATTTAGAGTTTCTGCAACTGAACAATATTACAATGTTTGACTATTTTCTTAATTTAATTTGTTATCATTATGCATTTATAGCCTCTAATATGCATGCATTATTAGAGGCTGGCATTCCTCTTCATTTGAACTACAATACCTTTAATTAAAAAAAGCAAACTCTTAGAACAGGTGCCACATGTTATGGTTGACAGTATATCTTACCATGCATAATACTCTGAAATCAAATTTTTAAACTTAATTATTATTTGAAAACCATAAATTACTATAACAGATTTCTATAGATTTTCTGATGCAAATCTGTATTTATTATAAACTCTATATTATTACTTATTAAACATTACCTATTATTCACCTCAAACCAGCAATAAGATCTGATAAAAGAGCTCATAAAATTTTTATAAGAAAGCACCAAATATCATTTAAATACTTGTTTTATACTTTAAGCACTTTTGTATACAATTTTGTTAGTTGGAGCATGCAAGGTTTATTTATTTTTGAATTTTATTTTTTTCATCCTACTAAGAATTATGTCTTTTTTTTACACTAAGCTAATTTGCAGTTGCAAATAAATAGAATTGTTATTACAAATTAGTGTTTTTATTGTACTACCATATAAAGTTATAGGTTAATTATTTGTTAAGGAAATACTTGAAGTGAAATTATTAAACTTAGGTGCATTCTACAAAAGAGTTCCAGCTAACTTTAGTATGAAAGTTTCCGAAACATTTTCACCCTAGCTCACCCTGAAATTTATTTTCAAGCCCGTGTGAACAAAGCAGGAGTGGATGATCACATGATTTTCGCTATGAGAATTTAGCAAAACACTTGTCTATCTACCATTATAAAAATTAAGATCTGAGTGAGAGATTTTTGTAAAATTAGTAAGATTATGACGAAGCAAAAGTCGAGAAAATTAAAAAAATTACGCTATAACGTTCCTAATCTAGCACATTAAATATGTATAACTAAAGTTTTAAAAATAATCTTTTACTTTATTTTATGTACAGATAAGATCATTAAATTGTGAAAATGAAAAAAAAAATTGAAAGAAATAAAAAATTATCTGAAATTAAGGAAAAAGAATTATTACAAACTAGCAGAAATGAAAAATAAAAAATAACTTTTTTAAATAAATCATTAAAGAATAAAAATTAAACTAAACTGTTTTGAACTAAATAAGGGAAGAAAAAAAATATGTAAAAGATCATGACAGATCAATTAAGGAGTTTCAAAAAGGATATAAAAATAAAAAAAATAAACATAAAATTGCTCAAGATTTTTCTTTTTACAATGAAAGATTTAATTTCATCAAAGTTGTTAGCATAATATTTTCTTTTCTTTATAATTTTTTTTAAAATATTTTTTATTTTGTCGAATCCCTTTTTTTGACAAAAAATTTTTTAAACTTTATAGCTGCTTTTAAAAATCAGCTAAATTTTCTTTATCTGTATGCAAAGTTTGATTAATTATTGAGACAACTCAGTCGAGGAAAAATATTGTTTGTTTCTCCAATTAAAAGATAAAACAATAAAAAAAGATCTGAAAAGAGAAATTTATGAGTTTCCGTGAAAGAAAACAATGCATGTGTGTGGAAACCACTTTAAATTCCCTTGTCTTTTAAGTAACTAGCAACTAGGGAAAGGAGCAGAAGAAAGAATAATAAAGGACTCATATTTTGTACTTTTCTCTCTGTTTCCCCTCCTGAATCTCTCTTTTTATCCATTTTGACATCATACTAAGGAAACGAGGTTTCTCAACTCTGTTGTGATTCTCTTGCACAGACAGTCATAAAACTTATACACTTCGCTTGACGAAGGGAAACTTCTCTTAGGGTCAATGCTGAATCATAACATGTATGTTCCGCACTTTTGGCGCTAAAAGTGAAATGCTGGAATGCTACCGTCAATGATTTAAGCAAAATGTGTTCCAGTTTTTTTTAACTTTCAGGCAATGCAATTTTTATTTCCCCCATTTAATATTTTAGATATTATTTTCTTTCATTTCTATTTAGGTAAAGTTCAAATTATATAGGACTAGAATTTATTTTTTGCAAATATTTATTCAACTCAACCATCTACTCTTTCATTGTACTTCTTTCTTTCTCCCAAATCTCAAAGGATGACATAGGGCACACCTCATTAGAGAAACTTCTCCACCAAACCTAAAATACTGGCATGGTGCCAGAATTTGAATTTCTAATGGGTCTCATCTTACCCTCTTTACAATCCGCTAGTGGGATTTTTATTTTCGTTTTAAGTCTGAGAACTGGCAACTAAGAAGTGTGTTAGTTACAGAACTGAATTTAAATTGTAATTGATTTAAAAAGCATAATGATAGTAATCGTGCTCGACGTAGATTTTTCTCTTTTAACAAATCTAATATCAGGCTGTAGAGGAATAATAAGAAAAATTTCAAGCTTTCAATAAAAAAGATGGTGCAAGAGAAGGGGGAAACCCTCATGGCCAGACCTAGGGAAAGATCTGGAACAAAAAGAAAGGAAACTTCTGTATCAATAATAAAGATATGGCTGCTTGCTTGAGTGTTGGCAAAAAGAGAAAATGTAAAAAATTTTACTAGTGTGCCATCCTGGTGCTACCATTTCATGTGGCAGCACAACCTATGCATAAGAGCTTGTACAACAACCGTAAGGCAAAGTTTGCCTGAAAACTGGACAGAAAAAGTCTCACAGTTTCTGGAATTCACCAGAAAGCTTATAAAAGAGTATAAATTCACAGCTATTAAGATTATAAACACTGATAAAACTTCAATGAGTTTCGATTGTCCTTCGAACTGTAGAAAGCTGTGGGGGGAATTCAGTTGTTCAGTTGCCATAGCATTTACGGTACAGAAGCGGACATGCTTCACAGTGGTGTTAGCCTGTTCAGGTGCAGGCGTAAAGCTGCCTCACTTTATAATCTTTAAGCGGAAAACTTTACCTAAGGAAAACTTTCACCAAATAATTATTGTTTGAAGTAATTGAAAAAGGATGGATTATGCATTTGTAAAGCAATATAGCTGCAAATTCGTGTGTCGGTTATAGGTCGATGGGGATTACAGGTGGACGATTTTTTCCCATTTCTGAAATGAGGAGTGAGACCAACAGGTATAATAGGCCGGAAAATATGGTATAGGAAAGTAAATTTTTTAAAATTTATTTCTTCAAAATGTAATTATATTCATACTTATTTTAGTTTTATATAGAATTTTAAAACTTATATAACTTATTATAATAATTTATTTTGATTTGGATTTATGTCATCCTTTTTTCCTAAATAAATGTCTGCTCTTATATCTGGAAGTTATATTATTTAAAAGTTATATAGAAATACTTATATTTTAATGAATATTCTGTATGAAGATTATTTATCTAGAAATTAAAAAAATTATATTTAATAAAATTTAATTTAAATGTTATTATATTGCAAAAACTTTTTTAAATTATAAATTTTTTTTAATGACAATGTATTTTTTTAGAAATTTTACATAATGATTTTTTTTTCAAATAATTTTCTTAAACAAACTGATATTATTTTACAGTAAAATATAAAAACTAATTTTTTACACCAAAGTTTAAATAGTAAATCCTAAAAAATATACTATGAGGCAACCAAAATATAGAAAAAATTTTTTTATAACATTTATCTTTGAAAACTTATGAGGTTTATTTAAAATAATTACTTTATAATTGAAAATACTTTCTAAAATGCTCATGATTTTCAGTTCAAATGTTGAAATAGCTTTTAAGTTATTACTTTATCAAATCTTATTTAATAATTCTATGATGATAATGATTTGATTAAGTAGGTAAAATTGAAATCTTTGTTGTAAATATCTATTGTAAGTTTATTGATAAAGACCTGTAGCATATTATATAACAGCATTCGTAAAAATTAGTATGCTATTTGCAATCATGAACACTATGTGTGATTTATAGTATAATACAATACAATACATGTATAATTTTTTTTTGTAATATTTAAAAGTTCTTTGTGTAACTATAAAATAAAGTTCTACAGTACTGTCTTATGTAAAACATTGAATGAAACCATATTTGTTTTAATTTTTTTAAGATATTCTTTAAATTTATATTTCTATCCAATTTTAACTTTTTTATTTTCATTTGTTTAAAAATGATTCATTAAACTACTTGGAAATTAATATTGTTAATAAACCTATTAAATTGTGATTAAAATTTTACATTGATTACGATCCCTGCTTCTGATAACTAAATAAAAAAAGTTATTGAAAAATATCTAACATCACTCCTTAAAAAACAAAAGGAAAAAACTATTTTAATAATAAAGAGAAATCTGAGTTTTCCAATGCCTAAAAACTTCTTTAAACTATAATGCCATATAGTGTGTTATCTCGAATATCATTAGGTAACATACATTGCCTTACTATTGCCCATATATAAAATAAATTTATGAAAAGTACTATTTTAAATAAACTGTTTTTGAAAAACATGAAACAGGATAATTAGTTGTGTAATTATGATTAAATAACCTTCTAATGATTTGTTTTTAATTTTAGAGAAATGGATTCTAGTTGTCATGATACTCCAGATATTAGTCAACTGAAGTCAGCCATTCGTGTGAGTTTGAATATTTTATTTACTTATGTGTTGTGTTTTTAAAATGATGTTTCTAATTATAATTTAAGTTTTTAAAAAGCATACAAAATATATACATTCTATAAAAGAATTGAATTTTGAATTAATATGCAACTGGTCTTACTTAAAATATTGTTGCTGTATTATATCATATAAATATAATATTAAGTAAAAAGTAAAAGCATTTTAACAGAACACTAATGTGATACACATAAATTTTTTATTATTTTTTCTTCAACAGCTGTTCATACAAGTAGTTCTTGGTTGTTGAGATTATTTTACTTTACTTTAGATACTGCTATATACTTTGTATAGTTTATTATAACCAATGTCAAAAGTGGGAAGAATTAAGCTTTGTACTTCAATTATTATCTGCAACCATTTACTTTTGTTAGGACATATTAATTTTTTGTTAAAATATTTAAGGCATATAATCATTTTAGTTATTTGAGTGCTATTACAAGGTAAATTAAATTATTTGGACAACACTTATGAAGTGATTTGATTAAGAGTACAAATCTATTAAAAATAGGTTATTTATGTATCTAGGTAATAACTTATTTAATATAAAACTCTTAATAACTAGAATATGTTAAATGAGTTCTTTCTAACCCTTATTATTCTTACCAAATGCTAGTTGTTTGGCCACTAGGCCATTGGATTATAGGGTCTCCAATATTTCTCTACTTGACTAGAAAAAGAATGTAGTACAGGGCATTCATTCATATGCAAAGCAGTCATATTCTGACCAGTCATATAAAGAGAACATACAGGAGAGTCAATGTTTAGACAAAACAGATGGGCAAGACAAAATTCATGACCTGTTAGGAGTTTAAAAGTTGCAACTGCAGCTACATGAAGTGAGTCAGGAACAAGTTGTGACTTAGAGTAGAGTACATTCAAAATTTTTCCTTCGAAAGATGCAAAAGTCATTTTAAGGAGAAAGCTCATAAAATTCTCGCAATTTCTAATTTAGCTGAATAGAATTCCAAGTTACCAAACGATTTCTTGGGATCTCTCAAACCATAAATTGCATATAATTCCAGAAATACATTTTTTATATAATTTTTCTTTGAAAGATACCATATTTTTGCTATATAAATTTATCTAGTGTGTTAGTAGTTTTCTAATAGACAGTACTGTTCTCCACTGTGGTAAAAGCTTTTAAAATTAATTTATATTGTCCACTTTTAAAATTAGTGTCATAAATTAATATTCTTATATTACCTTTAAAGGGCAAATATTTTAAATGTGAATGATCTGAACACAATTTTTTTTTAAATGATAAATATTATGTGTTTGGTTGATTTTTAAAATTATGCATACACTTTCACATAAAGATAAATTTTTAATGAAAATTTTGTTTAAAATTTCAAAAGATTTTCTTTAAGCTTGGGAGATACTTATATAATTTCAGTATATGAAATATAGCTAGCTCTTTGTATGTCATCCATTATTATTTTAAATGAGAAATTTCCCATACATTCAGAGTTTAAATAGACTCCTTCATGATAGAAAGATTGTTAGATTTCGAAAAATATAAAAGATTTGTTAGAAAGTAAAGCAAACAAAACTTTTTAAAAGTGAAATGCAGATATTTTATCTTTTCGTATGTTAAACAAACAGGGGGAAACAAAGGTACATTTTTAAGAGAAAAAAAATTGAATACAATACATGAAAGGTATTCCTGATAAGAATAGAGTATCTGTGAAAGCATAATTGGTCACCAATGAAAGATATAGATCATTTGTGAGAGGAGAAAAATATGAAAAAAGTATGAATTGCAGAATAATTAAGAAAGATAAACAAATCATTGCAATGACCACTTTCCCCAATTTTGTTGCAAAGTGTATTTTAATGGATTGTTGTGCAAAGTTGTATGAATATTAAGTTGGCAGCATGAAAGAGGAATTAACTTATACTTTTCATAAAAATGCTTAGTAATTATTTTTTGCAAACGTTATGGTTGAATGTTATTGTATGTTGTATAACATTCAACCATAATTGTAAAATGTAATTGTATGGTCAGTGTAAATGTAATGAATGTTTTTCCACTATTCCATATTCGGCTCTTAAACCGAAAATTCGGTTAGCCAAATATTCAACAAAGTATTTTTTGAACAAGGTTTTTCTTTTGGAATTCTGTAGATTTAATAAATAATAATCTTAAATAATATTTGTAACTATACATAGTTAGAAATAGTTTTTACTTATTTTTGTTAAATTTTAAAATTCATCATGTATCTAATTGTATTTTATTTAAATTGTATAATAATATATAATATAAGTTAATTACATATTATTTTATTTAATTTGAACACTGAGTTATGCAAATTTTTATTTCACTTTAAATTGTGTAATTGTAATTGTCAAAATTCAAAACTTGAACAAAAATTGTTCTTGAAATATTAATTTAAAAAAAGAAAACTTATTTGAAAAAATACTTGAAACTATTCTGCTGCAAACATTCTAATTTTGTATTCTCTTATTTAAAAGGCTTAGTTTTAAATTACCAAAATTTACATGGCATTTTTTTTTAGGAAACAAATGTTATCATTGTGTTTATTTTTTGTTCCTCAGATAAAAAGAAATAGACTAAAAGTTTAATTAACATTAAGAACCTAAATTTTTAACTGCTTGCTTGACTAAACCATTGGGACCATATTTTCTGAATTGCTTTCAATTTTCATAATTTGTCATAATCCAAATCCATCACAAAAGAGAAATTACATTTCTTTTGTCTGATTTTGCAATTTTCGTTCAACTAATTAATTAGCATCTTTCAGATCAAACCTTGTAAATCATTAAGATTGTCCCTTAGCATGTGAAAAAACACTTGTTAGAACTAAAGTTATTTAAGGTGATACATATTTTTTTACTCATTGTAGTATATCATTTCTTGCTTATGTCAAGGATTCACATCTTTAATCATCATTTTCCAATTTCAGAAAATAGCATAAATTTAACACTGTAAATAAATTAAAGAATTTTAAAGTAAATGCTGGGAAAATGAAAGTTTCTATAACACTTCTACATTATATTTTGAAGAACAAAAACTTTATAAATAGTTGGAATTTTTAGCATTCTTCCACTGAAAAATGTACCTCTGCAAGACAGATGACTACCTATTCAAAAATGGTTCATTTTTTTGAATGTCCCATCACCATCAAATTTCCTCTCTGGTGTGTTGAATCAATATTAAGATTACAATTTTAGATAATTAACTGAATTCTGCTATTTTTTCTTAAGAGTTCTTGGATCTAATATGACTTTTTTCTGAATTCTCATTTATTTCTGAATTGTCATAATTCTTTGACTTTTTTCTGAATTGTCATAATTCTTTCTTAATCAAATGTCTGGTCAGTTTCACTGTATAAGTTGAAACTTTCCAATTTAACGTATGATTACTTTTAAATGTGCAAGGTGTTTATAACAATTATTAATTCATTAAGCTTTTTAGTAATAAAGGGATATTTTTGGAAAAAATCTTATTTAATAAACACTTTTTTTTTTTAAAAAAAAGGGACTCTACTATGCTGCTAATATCTCTTCATAATTTCTATTTGAAATCTTATTAACATAGATATTTCAATTTTTTAACATTTTGAACTATTTTATGTCTAAATCTTTAACTGAACTATTTTAGGAAATCACTCATGAGTTAGATATGTCATATGGTATCTTAGGTAGTACATTCAGAAGTGGTAAGTTTAGTTTTTATCTAATTAATAAATACAACTTTCATTCAAACATTATTTTAAAAACATTACCATATTATTCTGTTTGATATTTGTGTTTCAAGTTTTATTTCTTCATTATTCTTTTTCAACTATCCCTGATACTACTATATTTTTTATCATCTACAGTTTATTTTGAAATCACATCTTACCCTAATTTATAAATCATAATTTCTAATGTAGATAGTGAAGTGACTTTTTTAAAAAAAATAATAAACAGCACTAAATAGAAAATAAACATCACTAAAAATAAAATAATGTAACACTTAATTTTATTGTTATACCTGATCGCAGAACTTTAATATATTAACAAGGGTTGCAAATAACAGCTGCAGCTTTTTATATTAGTTTGCATTTAATTATTTATCTCAGATTTAAAAACAAATAGGAAAAAAAACAGGTGAAGAAATGTAAATAATTTTTTTCATCTTTGCTTTGATAAAAGATAATGATTCATTCCCCGCATTTTGAAATTGGAAAATTAAAGAAGATGAGCTGATCAACAAAATGTACTGTAGGGATGTTTTTTGTTTATCCTTTTCTTTAAGAACTTGCTAATGTTGCAACACATCCTTGCAATGAGTGCAGGTAAAAGTGGTCTTTCCTAAATTTAGTTTTGTATTATTGCTTATAGATCTCACTGCTTTTATCAGAAAAATATACATTTCATCTAGGACGCATTAAAAGTAAAGACCATGTTTATGCATCAAAAAGTACATGTAACAAAAAATTATTTTATAGTGCTTTTCAAAGGACTCTAAAAATTAAAAATAAAATTTTTTATAAACTTCTATTTTGCTTTAACATTTTGCCTGTGCATATTATTTCTATCTATTTAATTCATTCTGTTGCCATGGGTTCTGTTAAGTGAGCATTTTTATTTTCATTGATCTTTTTTTAATCTGCTCCATGTTGCAATGCTTAAGGCCGTTGGCACCGTTGCCAGCTTCAATCGACGTCTTAATGTTATTCTATGGGAGAACATAAATCACTTTTTCTCAATAATTTATAACCTGACAGCTCAATGTTTAATATTAATGAATAGATCTCATTTAAACAAACATAACTACTGTAAAAAATTATTTTAAAATTCTATTAATAATTTTTAAAACGAGTTTAAATGTGATTTTAGAGTAATTTTCAAGCGTTTTTCACAAAGTTACTTTTTTAGCTAAATTCACGAAATTTTTTAAAAAAAAAACATATAAATACGTAGTTTAAACGTAATTTAAACAATATGAAATTATACATTAGGAACTATTGCTAAAAAATGATTTTTTCCGGGGTATGAAACATTTTTCTACTCTGAAATCGTTCTTCAGTTCCTCCTTTTCTCTCTAGGAGGCTATCACTCAACCGTGAAGAAATCCCCCAGGCATGAAGAGGGGGACATAAGCGAATTTTCATGGTTGTCGTAAATAAACCTGTGATCTTTTTCGTAATGGTGAATTTCAATGGTCGCCAAGAAACAAACATTCACAAGAAGCATAGTCCCTGACAAGAAGTAATCATTTACTGAAATGAGTGATTCAGATCTTATTTTCCTTCACGGCCTAAGAATATCTTTTTCAAGATTGAAATAATGTTTAACTATAAACTGTGAGAGTAATTAACAAATAATTCACTCGTTTAAATAAATTGAACATTAAAGCCATTTTCAATTTTTGGGAAAAAGATCATTTCGTTTACAAAATTCTTCCTATATTTTTTTGAAAATTAGTAATTAAAAATAGTTTGTTCGGGGCAATTTTTTAATATCTCCTTTAAATTACTATCTAAATATTTCATAAAATACATCTTCACAATTTTTTTTCGAAAAGGTATTTAAAACATTATTCTAAATAAGAAAAATGAAGGAAAAAAATGTTACTGCTGTAAAGAGTTACCACCAATGAACTTAGGATGAAGTAGCTTTGAAGATACATAACTTATCATTTTTAATGTATAAATTTTTTTGTTGGAGGGGGGGG